TCTAGTGTTGACATTCTAGCAGGGCCAAGTATCATCCTGGGAGAGACTCATGCTTGAGGCAGGGGGTATGCGGAATGCCACCCAGTGATCAATGCTCCTGTTCAAACACTTGCACAATAAATGAATTTAATTCTCACAGCAAATTCTGTGAGGTGGGTACTATTATTACCACCTCTTTATAGGGATGAGTGTTTGAGGACCAGAGAGATAGCTTTCCTAAGGCCACACAGCTAATTAAGGCTCAGGCTGTGTGATTTCAGAGTGGGTAGGTTTACCCACTATATTGGTTTCCTGTTGCTGCTGTAACAGATCACCAAAAATTTAGTGGCTGAAAACGACACTGTTGTCTTACAGTTCTGGAGGTTAGCAGTCCTTAAATCAAGCTGTCAGGCACCTTGTGTTCCTTTTCAGGGGCTCTAGGGAAGAATCACATATTTTACCTTTTCCAGCTTCTAGAGGCTGCCCACATTCCTTCACTTGTGGCTGCACCGTTCTGACCTCTGTTTCTGACTTCATGCCTCGTTCTCTAATTCCTGCCTCTCTCTATAAGGACTCTCGAGATCACACTGGGCTTACCTGGAAAATTCAGGATAATCTCCTCATCTCAAGATCCTTAATTTAATCATATCTGCAAAGTCTCTTTTGTCACATAAAGTAACACAGTCACAGGTTCTGGGGACTCAGATGTGGACATCTTGGAGCGGGGCATTATTCATCTAGCTACACCCACTTACCTATCTTTACTATACTGGATGTCTGTTTGTGATTTTCCTTAAATAGGCACAGGAATGGATAAGCCTATGTGTAGGTATAAGTAGAAAACAAGTGGACGAAAAGGAATTGCAACTCCTGGGACAGGAAGAAGGGGAATAGAACTTGGGGATGGATGTCAAAGGAGACTTGACTAATCTATAGTGTTCATTTATTAGAAAATATTTGAAGCAAATATACAAAATGTTAATACATCTTGGTGGCAGGAAATAGAGGTTTGCTGTGTATGTATTGTATGATATATTTGCTCTGTATTTACAGCATTAAAAAAACAACAACAATAAAAAAAACACTGAAACAGCCTGTCTAGGAGAGAGCTGTCTCTGCCTGGGCAGCTGAGACGAGGTACTGGCTTCTCTGGGCGTGTTTCTCCCTCTGAGATGATGGAGGACGAATAATCTACAACCTTCAGCGATTTTCCTCCCTGGACACGTGGTTCTTACATCGTAGGGGCAGGGGCCAGACCACCGGGCTACACAGGACCGAGGGGTGACAAGAAATAGGGGCCGGGAGCCTGCGGATCCCCCGAGGTCGGCCGGGAAGAGCAGCGATGCTGCACCGCCCCCAGGTGGCCAGGGGCAGTATATATCACGTTCCAGGAAGATCAAACACACACACGCCTGAGGATTGAACCTTAATGTTTAACATTGAGGAACTTCTCTTTCCATTGTAACACTGTATTGTGATAATAGTCACTCCTGAGGATCTCGAGGGCACTATCACTCTGAGACACAGAGGGAAGCCCGGCGTTTACCATACACGGAGGAATGGGAAAGGCTGGCGATATCAGACATGCGCACATCCACAGGGGCGGATCAGTAAGCCACATACTGCCGCGTCATTAGACTAATATAGTCTCAATGGAAGGCCCGGCAAACGGGAGGTAGCGTGGCCGAGTGGTCTAAGGCGCTGGATTTAGGCTCCAGTCATTTCGATGGCGTGGGTTCGAATCCCACCGCTGCCATACCCTTTAGGTGTTTCCCTTTTCCCATCCTTCAAAAACCTGTTCGTTTATTGATTTCTCTTCGCCAATATTCTAACGCTATTTTTTTTTTTTACTTTAATGGAATTGGGACCGGGAAAAGGAAAACGAAGAAACTGCAGAACAGGCCACAGGCCCTCTCACTCCGTAACCTACTATACAAACCCACCAAACCTGCCATCTAAAAAACAAGAAAGAAAACACTATTCCCAGGAGAAAGCATCCGAGATACTTTGGAAAATCCCCAAGTTATTTAATCCTTCTAGGCCTGAGGCCACAGGCAGTGGACCTGTTAGGTGGGGGTGATTTTAATCATGACCTAAATTAAGGAGGGTTCCTTTCTGGCCGGCTCTGTGTACTTTGGAGAGCACCCGCTGACTCCAGAACTTCCTTGACAAACCTGTCAGGTGGTGTCCCTGGGGCGGGGTTAAGGTATCAGGGTCCCACGTGAGGATTATGAACTTTAAGGTCCCAATTTCATAGATCCACTTCCTATTTGGTCTTCAGTCTCGATTTAGGGTCTCTCCTTTATTTATTCATTCAACAACTACTTATGAAGGATCCACTATGGGCCAGAAACCAAGCTTGTCATGAGGCTATAGAACAAACAAGGCAGATGTATCTTCGCACTCATACAGTTTATAGACATTGTAATTTCATTAATTACACTTCTGAGGGGTGTTATGCAGTGCATTATACTAATGCTAACCTTGCCCAGGGTCAGTGGAAGAAGTGACAGTTGGGACTTGAAATTGAAAGATTAGCCAATTGAAGTGGAGAGGGTGGGGCTCCTGGTGGGTCTGAGATGCTGTGAAAGCAACTCAGGGAACTGGACAGAGAGCAGCAGTGGACAAAGAGCAAAAGATGAGGCAGAAGTGTTAGGCAAGGAAGGCCATGAATGCCAAGGTAAGGCTCTGAACTTGATCCTGAACTCATTGAAAGGTTTCAAGCCAGAGGCTGGCATGTTCTAATTTTGGATTTAGAGAGTTCCCTCTGGCAGCAAGAACAAGAGCTTCCCTTCAAACCCAGTGCAGTTGTCTAGGAAAAAGGAGAGCAGCGTGTACCATGGTTGTGGCAGTGTGTGGGGCTGAAGGGGTGGGGCAAAGACATTTTGAAGGTGGATATGATAGAACTCACTGATGAAAACATGAAGAAGAGGAATGTGTTAAAAGTGATGCCAGGTTTTGAGTTTGGGCCACTGGGTGGCTGGTGGTATCTATTCTCTCCATAGGAGGGAACACAGGATGAGAAGGTGGTTTGTAAGATAGATGAGTTGCATTTGATTTATACCGATTTTGAGATGCCTGTGGGACATGGGGTTGAGTAGGAGGTTGGACGTAGAAGTCTGGAGGTCTAGAGAACACTCCACACAAATGATACAGATTTAGGGGGCACTGGGTACAGAGGCCATGGGAATGGATGAAGTCACCCAGAGAGTGCACATAGGAAGCAGAGTGGCCAAGAGAGAGTCCTGATGAACATAATCTTAAAGGAAGGACAATGGAGAGAAGCCAGTGAAGATGGAGGACTGGCCAGATACATAGGCAGAAAACATATGTGGTATCATATAGACCAAGAAGAGTATTTCAAGAAGAAAGGAGTAGCCAACTATGTTGAATTCTCCTAATAGGCTTGGCAAAATACAGACTGAAAAATATCCATTGGATTTATGATTTATGGGCAAGGTCATCAATGACCTTAATTAATATCATTTTGGAATGGGCTTAAGAGAAGAAATGTAAATATTAGTGTAGACAACTGATCACAAAATTTAGTTTTGGGAAGGGGTGGAGTGGGAGGGGGGATGGGGAGTCAAGGGACAAGGCTGGAGGATGTTAAAACAATGGAGAAGTGCTTCAGCACACACAGTGATTGGCTATGTCACCTTGTGCTGTCCATGCTGACAACTCTATTTTTTGTATTTATGATGTTTCTGCATAGTGTCTACAAGTAAGCTTGGACTTCCTACTTGCTGTCTTAGAACCTCCTGGAAAGCTAGTTTTCTGGGAAGCCTCTAGAATGTTCATTGGGACTATTTGTTGGTTAAAGGTGTTGCCTCCTTTTCTTCTGGGTAAAGACACTTGAGAGAAAGGAAGCTTCCTTGGCACAGTTACCCATGCTGTTCCCACAAGCAGGTTTTAGACATCATACCTTCAGAGTATCAGGGAAGAGGTGATTTAGAGAAACCCAAAAAACAAAGAAATTGATTTTGGTTTTGGATTTCAGAAGCAGAGGTTTGCCAGTTGACAAAAGACCTAGAAGGTTACGTGAACAGGAAAAGCCTGTTTTCTCTGTGCTAGGAACATATTTCTCAGGGTTGGTAAAGAGAGGAAGGTAAGAGCAGGTGAGTTTAGATGCAAGTGTGTTATGAAGAAGAAGGGAGCCCAAGGACTTCCAGCCCCAATTGGAGTTGAGAAAGAGGTAGATCCTAGAACTCTACCCAAGCCTGGCCATGGTCCAGGTGCAGAACAGCAGAACTGACCATGTATCTTGTTTAAGTCAGTGGTCCTGGGGCAGTTCCTCCAAATTGCCCCAACTGCAGAGATGTAATCCTCCACCATTTTTTTGACATTAGACACAACCCGTTTCCTCACCTGCAAAAATAATAGACTCCACTATTAGGGTAGCCCCAGGAATTAAATAAAAGCATATAGATGAAAGCCCTATCAAATTGTCAAGCATTAAACAGACATAAAATATTACTGAGCTTTTAAAAATTGTACACACATACAGGTCAACCTAGCAATGAAGAGATACACTTTGTAGCTACTTCACAAACTTTCTTCATTGTTCAGCAGAGAGGGACACGCAAGCTGTAGATGTCCAGCCCCCACGATGGCCACATTGGCTCTGATTAACACTTTCCCTCCCCTCCGCCACAGGTTTTTCAGGTTCATGATGGTTTTCATCTTTACCAGGATCCACAGTTTGACAGGCCAGTTCCATATGTGTGTTTTATGATACATGCATGCATGTATTTACATACTGATCTTGGTATCCATAATCACCAAAATAATAGGGGGGCACTGCTTCTGTGGAAAGGAGGGCTGGATTAAGAAATTTTGTGGTTTTAAACAATCAAAGATTATGATGATCACCACTGCCCCCTCATTAACAAATAGAAGCAATACTAAATTATAAAATAAGACCAGCTAAGTTCTAATTCTTTCTATTGTAACTATATTGGTATTTTTTGAGAAGTTTAATTCTTTAAAAAAAGTTTTTGTTGTTTTATGTTGCTGCTGGTGCTGTGCTTACTAGGCTGAATGATCCAGAGGCTCCGGCTAGCGAGGAGGGTCCAGTGTCCATAAGGAGGCTGCAGCAGACAAGAAAACTGGACAACTGCCCCACTTGCACTAGCCACTAGAGTCTACCAAGGCCAGGCTCCCGGAGCTCCCTTAGATGGCAGGCCTACCAGGCGAAAGCAGAGCGGAAGGGGTGGGCCAGGATGGGGCACGTGGGAGAAGGGAGTGACCAGACCCAGAGGGCGGGGCAACGAAGCGGTGGGCTCGGGTGCGCCGGTAAGCCCAGGAAAAGAAGGAGCCCGAGCCGGGGAGAATCTGGGGGCAACCCAGGATTGGACAGAGGTGGGGAGGACCGTTAGAGGGAGCAGGCCTAAGGCTAGGACCTCATCACTAACCCGGCCAGGCCAGAGGGAGAAGCAGGACTGAGACCCAGAAGATGGGCAGCAGCATGGCCATGGTTCCTGTGATGAGGGAGGGACTTCGCCTACACCCTGAGTGCCGACTGGGTGGGTTCACAGCCGGGCTCTCTAGGGTGGACGGTCAGACACTGGGCTGACCGCCTAGGAAGCGCAGGACAAGGGCGAGCAGGCCCAGGAGCAGCAACAGCCCGAGCAGCAGCCACAGGAGCAACGGCGCCGTGGAGCCGCGGGGCCGTCCTGCCGTGGACTGTACGTATTGCTCCACAGCGTCGGCGAAGTTGAACTTGTCTGGCACGTAGCCGAGCTGGGAGCGGGCCTTAGCGATCTGGAAGGTGTGCGTCACAGCCACACTGTGCACCTGCAAAGAGAGGCCCAGCAGCTGAGGGGCAGGATTAGTTGAGGTGGGAAGCAACCCCCACTGCCATTTAAAAGGACTAGTGTGCTGGGTTTTGCTCCTGTGAAGCCTTCCTCAAGGAGGACCTCCTTTCTCCCATTTACCTCCAGGACTCCGCCTTCAGGATGCCTTTTCTGCATTTCCCCACCCTACTACTGAGCACAGTCCCCCAAAAGCAAAAGTGGCCTAGCACAATACTGTGAGGTAGGAGGCCCTTGATTACTCCGTGGCCTGAATGTGGCTATCCGGAAAAATGCCTCCAGGAAACGCTCCTGGCTTCTTTGGTCCTCAGTTTTAGTCCGAGGCAATGCCCAGGGTGCAGCCTTCAGCCCTCACTGATTAAGCTTCCCCCAAAGAGGAATTCAGTTATGTAGGGGTGATTGCTCTTGGGCTTCGAGCTTCATTTCTCTGGGGCCAGGTGGCCAGGAGCCTATAGGCTTCAAGGACAATAATGCAGTTATCCGTTTCAGAAGTCCCGCTCTGTACTTGACCTGGGCTAAATCTCATTTAATCTTCTAAGGTGGTACTGTGGTATTACCCCCACCTCAACATATTTGAAAACTGAAGATCAGAGAGATTAAGTGGCTTCCCCAGGGTCACACAAGGAACCAGGTTCCAGCTCCTTCTTTCCTGTGCTGGGACCGAGAGGATGCCAGCCTATGTGGACCCTGGGAAGGGTCCGCCAGCTGCTTGATTCTCCTATGGCACTGAAACAGCCACTGTGGTCAAGCCCAGGGTCTTAGATGCTTGTGGGTGGAGAGAGGGAGAGAAGTCAGTTCTTGTCCTTTTTTGCCCAAGCTAGTTAGTTTCAGGGGTTTGGGGTGATGGATACAGCTATGAACTAGATAAACAGGGTTCTGGAACCCTTCACTTCCAGTGGGAAGCCTCCCTAACTTCCTCAGAACTGGCTTAGGTGTACCTTGTGTATGACCTGAAGTTCTTCCTAACTTCCCCCTTATCACAGGGTGTTGAGTTGCTTCTTTACTGGGCTTTCTTCCCCTCTGGACTGTGAGCTCCTTGGGCTAAGGACTGTGTCTTGAAAGAACAAAGTCAGCACCATTTGCTGTCATGGTGCCATTTGCCGAGCAGGCCTATGACCTTGTTAAACAGGACACCCCTTTACTCTTCTGAGCTTAGGTCTCCAGGACTGGAAATTACTGGGAAGTGAGAACAGAACGTAACTAACAATAACAGCTACTGGCAAAAGGTAACACTGGAGCAAACTGCAGCTTATGCAAAACCAATTGAAACCTCCTGTGCTGCAACACCCCTAACAGCCCAGTGGCCACACAACAGCAAACCACACCCCCCACCCTTTTACAATCCAATAAAAACTCAACTCACCTACATCTCATTGCTAGTGTATCTCTCCACGCTTACGCCTTTTTCCTCCCTTGGAAAATGAATAATCTTTGCTCTCTGCATTTTCTTTTTGTGAATTTTTTTTTCACAACCTGCCTCACTGGCCACCTTAACATGTCCTGCTTCCATTGCTCAGCACAGTGCCTTGCACACAGTACATGTTAAATGAATGAAAACCTATCCAGTCAAACTTGAGGGCTGGTTGGTGTGTCACAGACTGACCAGCAGAAAAAACCAGAGCCACTGCCCAGAAACTTGCCCCTGATCTGTGCACAGGTGAAAGGGAGGGGAGCCAGGTCCCTGCCTGACTACCATTCAGTAGCATTGTGACAGCTATTTCACATGGATGTGATTCCTGACCAACTTCACAAGCTAGTGGTTAAGCTTGAAATCATTTAGATCTGGTGCTGGTTCGATCAGTTCTACTTTAGTGAGTGATCTTGGGCAGGTTATTTCACCAATGTGTCTCATTTCCTTCCCTGTAAATGGAGATAATAATATAATATATTGTATACATCTAGGGTAGAAGTAATGATTAAATGGAATAAACACAGCCTGACATATCAGTGACACTCAAAAGATGGTCACTATGTCCATTTTTCTCTTATTAGTTTGGATGGTTCAAAGGAGTAACAGTAGGAAATTGCTTATTCCTGTGGCCTAGTCTCCATTCCCCAAATCAGAGAGAACTAAGCAGAGTGTGAATCCAATTCCAGAATGGTTTGACCTTGGACAAGTCAGTAAATTTTCTAGTCCTCAGTTTCTCATCAGAAAAGGAGATCATACAGTAAATGAATGGATCAAAAAATTGTGGTACATATACACAATGGAATTCTATGCAGCAGAGAGAAAGAAGGAGCTACTACCCTTTGCAACAACATGGATGGAACTGGAAAGCATTATGCTGAGTGAAATAGGCCAGGTGCTTGAAAGACAAATACCATATGATCTCACCTTTAACAGGAAGCTAAATAACAAAATAAACAAGCAAATAGAATAAAAACAAAGACACTAAAATAGAGAACAAGTGGGCAGCGACCAGAGGGGAGAGGGAAGGGAATTTAAGGGGAAAAACGAGGAGGGATTTTGAAGAACAAGTATGAAAGACACAGGGATGAGGTCTGTGGGGAGAGGGGGAGACGGGGCGGAGGGGGGGTTGGGATGGGAGAAATTGACAAAAGAAAACTGTACTTGAAAAATAACTCAATAAATTTAAAAAAAAGAAAAGGAGATCATAATCATAACTTTTTTGGCTTTCCTAATTTACCAGGGTATCAGAAAATCAGATGAGAGTGTAGACTGAAAGGACTTTGTGAATAACACCAAGCACCCATAAAGTTTACAATTTGTGATTAAACATCCTCTTTTAAACTAAGTACAAATAGAAACTACATCATCATTATTTAAAAACAGTATTCTCTACAGAGTAGGTACTTAATACATATTTATTATTCAATAAGCATGGATGGTGAAGCTAGAACCACAAGGCTGTGAGTGCACATTGAGAGCTGGCACGAGTTGGTGAGGAGTGATGGCATTCTAAACAGTAAACGTCATAGAGCCTGGTTTTGAGAGCCTCCAGTTTGACTGGGAAGATAAACCTAATGAAATGGCAGTGATGAGGGATGGGCTTGGAGCTGTCGTGTTTCAGATCAAGAGAACACGGCCTAAGCAAAAGCCCAGAGGCTGGATGATTATGAAGGAAGCAGGCACTAGATTTCGGCCCATGGAAGGTACTGAGACCTCAGACAAGCATTCAGCTATGATGTCGGAGGGGTGAGTAGAGTGTGGACAAGGGGCAGGAAGGCAAGTGAGGGTTTCCGGAGAACACAGAGGATCCCCTAGCAGCATTCAGCTTACCTCACTCCGGGTGAGCAGTGGTGGGATGCTGCAGATGGGCCTCAGGGCCAGGTGCAGGTACTCCATCACCGTGGCTGTGTGGGGAGAGAGGGACCAATGAGCAGGCTGCCAGACTCTAGGCAAGGTCCAGGGGGGCCCTCAGGAACATATCAATTGGAGGCATTAGTTGCCTTGCTAGGGGAAGTCTTCACTTTGCAAAACTTTTCTGTCCTTTAAATCAGCAGTTCTCAGCACATGCTGGGTGCTTTATTTGGTTGAGAAATGTGTCAAAAGTAGTTATTACATTTTAAGGACAGACTGAGCAGATTCAAAGCTACCTCACAGTAATGTCTGCCTCACTCACTTCTGTTCCAATCTGCTTTCTTGGGTAGGAGAGAAGAAAGCTAGGGTAATAGTTCTTCACTGGGCTGCACTCTGGTCCACTTTAAAAAATACTGATGCTTCCTCTGTCCCCTTGCTTCCCACTGATACTGTCATTGTTCTGGGGTGTGGCTAAGGCATTTTTTATATTTTAAAAGCTCCCAGGTGATTCTCCCCAGAAACTATGGATTTCTATACAGCCCTCTAAAACTGCCAGAACCTGTGGCTCATCTTTTCTCAGCTGGGTCAAGGAATGTCAATCACTGTGGTGATGCTGTGCTTGAGAAACCATCCCACCTGTGTGCCTAGTGGATAAAAGTGTGCAAGCATCCAGTGCAATTAAAGTACAGGTCCAGTCAAGTTTTTTCAGGATTACAGCAACTTGTGTCTGGAGGGCCATCTGTCCTCTGGGCAGAACACTTCATGCCTGACACCTGTTCTACACTCTAGCTGCAGGGAGGCCAGTAGAGGGGTGCTGGGGCTCAAAACAGGACCTCCGCATGTCCAAAAACAGCCTTAACTTCAGGGTGACCTTGGGGGACAGGACAGTCCGAGGACCCCTTTCCTCCTGACTTGCCAGGCCTTTTAGCACAGGCCACAGGCTGTGGACTCAGCCACTCACATGTGAATTCTGCCTCTCCTGCTTCTCACTGTTGCATAGTGAGCAGTCCTATCAGAGCCTAGTTGCCTCATCTTTACAATGGACCCAGTGCCAAGTGGAATAGGGTTCTGTGTTTTTGTTTTGTTTTTTTAGAGAGAGGAGGGAGACAAAGAGGGAGAAACAATGTGTGGTTGCCTTTCATGTGCCCCCTACTGGGGACCTGGCCCAGGCTTGTGCGCTGACGGGGAAATTGAACCAGTGACTCTGGTTTGAAGGCTGGCACTCAAACCACTGAGCCACACCAGCCAGGGCATGGAATAGGGTTTAAACACGGTCAGGACTAGATGTGTTGGGGACAGGCAAGCACAGATCAAACTTGGGGCAATTGGACCCTGAGAATGAGGGTCTCCTTAAACTCTGTGCCTTCAGGGACTCACTCACCTCCACCTAGTCCTGGCCCTGGGTTTAAAATGTGGTAATGCATGTTCACCCGATACATGGAGGTCTTTTAATACACATATTCTTTTCTTACCTGTCAGGTAAACCCAGGAAGTAGGCACCTGGATCCACGGCTGGCTGTACCCCAGCTTCTCAAACTGAAATGGAAACATGGCCTGAGATGAAAATAGTCCTTCAGGTGCTAGTGTGGAAAGGCCATGTGTTCCCTTTACCCTAGGCCAACAGAGTTACCTCCTGTTGACTTGCCCATCCACTCCACTGCAGTCCCAAGCCAGCCTTGAAATGATATCTACACATTGACTTGGAAAACTCAAGTAGGAATTGAATGCCTGGCGGTGGGAGAGGGGCGTTAACTTGGGGTCATTCGAATCATTTTTTTAAAAACCTCACCTGAGGACGTGTTCATTGATTTTAGAGTGAGAGGAAAGAAGGAAGGGGGTAGGGAAGAGAGAGAAGAGAAAAGAGGAGAGGAGAGGGAGAGGGGAGACATCGATGTGAGAGAAACATCCATCAGCTGCCTCCTGCAAGCACCGAGACTGGGAATCAAACTCTCAACCTAAGTATGTGCACTGACTGGGAATTGAACCTGCAACCTTTGGTGCATGGGATGACACTCCAAACAACTGAACCACCCAGTCAGGGCTCAAATTGTTTTTATTTACATCTGCCTATACCCAAAGACACTAAAAAGCACTTGTGTAGAACCTGATTTTTCTAAAATTGCTATTAAAGGGCGAAAAAATAGTCTATGTGTGGAGGGTAGTAGAAGATGCATGAAAAAAGGGGCTGGCACAGCATAAATTGAGGCCTTCACTTGTATAAAACTAATAGTAACAAATGTTGCCAAGGATGTGGAGAAACTCTTACTCTGCTGGTGGGAATGTAAAATGGTACAGCCACTTTGAAAAACAGTCTAGCTAGCAGTTTCTCAAAAGGTTAAATACAGATACCATATGACCCAGCAATTCCACTCCTATATATTCTATGGGGACATAACCAAGAAAAATGAAAACATGTGCACACAAAAACTTCTACATGAATGTTCATACAAGAATTATTACAATAGCCCCAAACTGATACCCAAAATTCTATCAACAGATGAATAAATAAAGGTATAATATCTACAGAATGGAATATTTCTGGCAATAAAGAATGACTACTGATAGGATCCATGCTATTAACACAGATGAATCTTCAAAACTTGCTAGATGAAAGAAGCCAGTCACAAAAGACCACATACTGAATGATTCTGTTTATATGAAATGCCCAAAGCAGGCAAATCTATACAGATAGAAATTGGATTAGCAGTAGCCTAGGGCAGGGAAGAAAAATTACCACTAAAAGATACAGTTTTGGGGGGGTTCCTTTTTTGGAGGGTGATGAAATGTTCTAAAATGTATTATGGAGATGATTGCACAATTCTGAATATACTAAAAAGCATTGAATTGTATTCTTTAAGTAGGTAAATTTTATGGTATGTGAGTTATATCTCAATAAAGCTGTTAAAAATGGACATGCCAGGGCCTAAACGCCCTGAGGGTGTGTCCTTCAGCACAGGGATCTATAGCCCCTTTGTCTGGGCCCAAGGAGGAGTCTGTGGGCTTCTGGGAGAGGTGGCCAGGGTTCTGGAAGGGGCTGTCACCAGGAGGTCCCGTGGCCAATACCTTCCGTCGTGTTTCGGGCCACCTTCTACTTACCGCTTTGAGAGTCTCACCACACAATATGATGGATCACAAGCAAAACTCCACAGGGTGAGCAGTCAGCATAAATCAGGACGCAGGCTGGGGGGACTATTACAAATTGAGGGAGCACAAGGCCTCCCAAAGGGAAAGCCACAACTCAGCTCCAGTCAGTCAGTGCCAACGTCATCCAGTGCACACTGTTTCCAGAACTGGTTTTGAATGTAAAATCTTCTGATTTTTTAGACGTAGAAAAGGATGACAGGGAGAGAAGAGGTGAGGAATCCCTGAATTCTCACGCCAGGTGGGGGTGGGGCATCTGAGCACCTACCAGTGGGGCCATCCACTCAAAGAGGTTGACGCTCTCCCCGTCGTTGATGTAGTATGCCTGACCGCTCTAGGGTGGGGGTGGGAGGCAGGAAAGGGGAATAGTCAGGCAGATGCTCGCAACCCGACTCAGCATCTGCCCAACCCCCGAGTTCTCCTAAGCACCCACGGAGGAGTCAAAGCCAGTCCCCATCCCTAGACAGACCTGGACAATCCCCTTTCAGTTCTGAAACTATCAGTGTGACCTGGATAAAGTCACTTAACCTCTCTGTACCTTAGTTTCTTTATCTGAGAAATGGAAGCATATTAATGGGATCTCTTGAGCTGTTACAAAGATTAAATGTGACATTGTATGTTAAATGCTTAGCGTTTGGTGACCAACATCTGGGGTCAACAACACCTACCTCACAGGGTCACTGCTAGAAACTAATGATGCTCTATAAAGACCCCCTTTCCCGCTGCCCCCCACCCCTCCCCAAGCTTCCCTGGCCAACAGTCCCACTAGCCACCTGGGGATGGGGAGAAAGGTATGTGAGCCAGGAATCCCTTAGGAATGGGCACTTGCCTGCAGCCCTTGGTGGGGGGAGAAGGAGTAGGAAGCATTGCAGTGGACTCACGGCTACATAGCCCTTGGCAGAGGTGAGGGCCTCAGCTGCCAGCACGTGTGCCTGCACCAGATTGTGCACATGCACCCAGTTCATCCTTGTCTTGCGGTCCCCAAATCGGAACATGAACAGTCTCTTCTTGATGTGGCTCTGGGCAGGTGTGGGGGGATGGTTTCAGGAGCAGTGAACATGGACCCAAGCCTAGGTGGCTTTAAATTTCATCTCTTTGCTAATGGGTCCCAAATGCCTAGCTCTAGACCAGAGCCCTCTGCTCCAACCCTATGTACCAGGAACTTACAGTTGTCTGGCAGACAATGCAAATTTGGCTGTCCTGGAGTAAGCACCTGACCTTTCCTCTCCCACTACATGCTTCTCCCTCCCATCTCAACTGATGGCACTCCAGGCTCAGGTTAAAGTCCTGGGGCCACCTTGCCCTCCCTTCTTTCATACCCTCATCCAGTTCACCTGCAATTCCAGCTGGCTCAACTGTTCTAATCTGTCCAGAATTGACCGCTTCTCATCACCCTGCCTGCCACTCTCTTCTCTCACCCAGATCCCCGGAAAGCTTCCTATGGGTCTCCTGCTGTTGGTCTCCACAAGGCCAGGGGACCCTTTTAAACCCTAAGTCAGAGTACATGACTTCCTGCTCAGAACCTTCTAGTATGCCCATCTCACTAGGCTGAAGGCCTCAGTTCTTACAATGACCCTTCTGATCTGGCGCCAGCTTCTCTTGGACTACAAACCCCCTTTGCTTGTCAGGCTGCAGCCCTGCCTCCTCCTGGGCACCTGCTGGCAGGTTCCTACCTCAGGGCTTTGTACCTGCTGTTCCCTCTGCCTGGAGGGCTCTTCCTCCAGATTCCTATGTGATGCACTCTCATCCCCTTAAACTGATGTTCAGATGTCCCTACTTGATGACACTCCTGACTGCCAGCCCTCCCAGTTTCCTCATCCTTTAACATCTTTCATTTTTCTCTGTAGTACCTAGTGCCTTTGAACACTCCTCATCATTTACCATTTTATTATATATCACCTTGTGTGAGAATATAAGCCCCACAAGGGAGGGAAGTGCGGTCTGTTTTGTTTATTGATCTGTCCCCAAACCTAGAACACTAATCTTTCTTATGTCCAGGTTTGTGCCCAAGCCCTCTCTTCTGCTTACATCACCTTCTCTCTACCGTCCCATTTCCTTGGTTAGTTTCTGCTTCTTTTTCCAAACAGCTCAGGCATCACTTCCTCCAGAAAGTCCTCCTGGACGTTCCCTCTCTAATTTACTCCCATCTTCTTGTTCTTCCTTCTATACAGCCCTTACCACACTGAGTCTGAGACCATAGCAACTGTCTCCCTGACCAGGCTGTGAGAAATCTGAGGACAGGGCCTACTAAAGCGCCTTATTCCCAGCCTTGGAGCCATAGCTCTGTGTCTGGCACCCATGCCTAGGCCTGGCTGGCAGACATTGAGAACTGTTGGTGGCAGTTCTAATGGGGTCTGGGCACCTTCTGAAACTAAGGGCCCCAGGCTAGGGACACTGTCCCAAGACTGATGCAGTGACCATGGGCTAGGATGACCCTACCCACGAGAATGACCCAGGATCCTCTTGTGTCTCAGACCCAAGGCTGGAAGGACATACCGCCACACGGGGCAGGTGCCTCTGCTCTTCAGGGCCGTAGATCCCTGGGGGCCGGAGCACACATGTCCGCAGAGTGCCTCCTCCTAGGACACAGGGGAAGGCATTCAGGGGAGAGACAGACCAGCAGGGAGAGGGACAGAGTGGCTGTCCATATCTCCTGGTCCTTACCTGGACAGGTTAACAGGGAACACAGGCCCTTGGGACTTCCTCATTCAATTAATTATTCTCTCAGTCAACAGTCATTCAACAAACACTGTTCAGAGTTTTCCCCTTCTCCCCCTGCTTTCTGCACTGGGCATTGAGATGTATACATGCTGTGCAGAATCTAAAGGTGACCAAGAATGGTTCCTGCCCTCATATTGTTCACAGGCCCATAATGAATAAGACCTGGAGCAGGTATATGCATGGCCCTTGAGAGTCGTGACCTCCTTTAACTCCCTACTGTGCCTATTTACAGATTCACACAGACCCACTCTCCCTTGTGCCAAGAGCTATAGTTGTTTCCTTTTTCCGATCATCAGTTAGATAAGGGCTATGATGACTCTTAAGAAAGCTCTTCTATGTACCTAGTCTTCTTCTGGTAAGCCTCAATTTTTCTCCCTCAAGGCAACTCTTTGAGTCCACGCTCAGAGAAGGGATGTGATTTGCTTAAGGGCACACAGCTTAGCCCAGTGGTGCTGAGATGGAGGGCCAAGGCCCAGGCTTCCCACTAATACCCCTGCCTCCCAGTGATATGACACACAAAAAGGACAAGACTAGAGCCATTGGCACAAATGCCTGCCCCCCCTAACTGTTGTGCCACCCTGCTGCCCTGTGCCGGCAGGGTCCCCCAGACCAAGACAGAGAGCTGCGTCCAGGGCTTCTCAAATTCTCTGCCAGGGAGCCCCCACTTGGCGGGGTGGTGAATGTGTCTCTCTCCCCTGGGGAAGTCTGGGGGTATAGCCTAAAGAGCTGCCACAATACTTATTTTTTTTATTGATTGATTTTAGAGAGAGAGAAACATTGATTTGTCATTCCACTTCTTTATGGTTGCTTCTTGTCTGTGCCCTGACAGGGGATCAAACCTGTGACACTGGTGTATTGAGACCACGTTCTAACCAGCTAAGCTACCCAGCCAGGGCTATTTCTTTCAAGCCTTAAGAAAGCCTACAAAATTTTCAGTTTACTCATATATTCCAGTTGTGTTTAAGATTTACACATTGAAAAATTACTTATTTGTAAATTATTCGACTGCCAACCCCAACTATTAACTGAGATGGAGTCTCTTGCACAGTGTTCTGCTTGGGGACCCCAAGCAGCCATACCCCCAGTTTAGAAAGCCCAGTGTAGACTATCTTCTGAAACCAGAAGTCCACCTTCTTTTGGGGACACCCTCCCTCTATGCATGAGGTCTAGGAGGACTGTTAGTCTAGATGTGTCGCTGTCCCCTGAGGTAATAGCCATGGGATCCAAGCTGGGCCAATGACATGTTCTCCTGCAGGAATGTGATTCCAGCATCTCTGACATTGGGACCTAAAATCCTAACAGTAGGTTTACCCAAGAGACTGATTATCAGCTCCTGGTACCCAGGTCCCCCCAGGCTGTCCCAACCCTGTCCCTTTCAAGCCTGGTGGTCATTTTTCTGGAAATGTATTTTCCAGAAGCTATCACACATACTTCCAGTGTAAGTCCTCTTTTCCCCATAAATTAGCCAGGGCCAGTGTCTCCAGGTTGTAGCCAAACACCCTGACTGCTTCCCCATTGTCCAACACCCCTACTTGACAGTGAGGTCCAGTGTCCTGGATTGAGTGGTGGCCCAGAAAGATCTGTACATGTCCCAGAATCTGAAGACATGGCCTTATTTGGAAAAATAATCTTTGTACATGTATTTAAAGACCTCAAAATGAGATCATCCCAGATTATCTGGGTGGGCCCTGATCCCATGCCACGTATCTTCATGATACTCAGAGAAAAGAGACAGAGGGAGAAGGGAAGGTCATCTGAAGACAGAGGCAGAGACTGGAGTGATGCACCCACACACCAAGGAATGAATGGAAGAGAGAGGGAAGGGTTCTCCCCTAGGGCCTCAGAGGGTGTGCAGCCCAACTGACATGTTGATCTCAGACATTTGGCTGTGACTCTGAGAATGGTGAGAGCAGAAATTATAGTTGTTTAAAGCCACCAGGCAGGTAGCAATTTGTCCTGGTGGTTCCAGGACACTAATGTACCCAGAGGCAGGAGGACACAGTAAGGTTCATACTGAGCTGGGGTCTGCACATCTCAGGACTCTGCCTCAGGGACCAGGGCCCTCCATGCCCAGTTACAGGCAGAGTCTCAGAGATCAGCTTGTGTAGTAAAGACTGGAAACCACCCGGTCTTTACAGGGTGAGTGACTGTGGCTAGACTCCTGGAAGGTAGGTATCAGGTAAGTTTTTCTGTAAACAGCCCGCAGCTAATTTTAAACTCTGGGTCACCTGGACATGGAGGAGGAGGTCAGGTTGCAGAGCCATTGGCCAGTAGGGCACTGGGCAGCCACATCACAGAGGTGTTGGGCCCAGGGTATCCATGACTCTTTTGATCATGGAAAGCTGGGGGTGCTCATATAAATAATTATTGGCCAGAAGATTAGGTGCCTGGCTTATATGCTGCTGGTCCAGTAGGGGATGCCCTAGATAGAGAAAAGGATTCAACTGCACAGGGTCAAACCTCTGGGAGAACACAGCTAGAAGTTCCTGACAGGCCCAGGAAGATAGGGTGAGGTGGAGGGGATTTTAGGGGAAAGAGCTCATTCTCAGAGAGACTACGTCTACTGTGGCTATAGTGTAGCATGACAGTTAGTCCCTAACCTCTGGTATTAGACTCCTGGGGTAGAGAAGGAGTCCATATCCCTTCTCTGCCACCTAATAGCTGTGTGACTTCAGTTAAGTCAGGTAACCTCTCAGCCTCAGTTTTCTTCTCTAAATTTCAGGGGTTTATAATTGCAAGCATCCCTTGCTTTCCCAATCTAATTGGCCCCTGAGTTTAGGTAGTAAGGGCAACTGAGTTCTCTGATTTGTTTTAGTTTCTGAATTTTGGAAAGCAAATAATGAATGTATTTGGTTCCTGAGTTTGGAAAGCAAGAGAGACCTACAGATGCTGTGAAGAGTTATTATGATTTTTGCCTATAAAATTAGCATGTAAAGCACTTGATAAACACAGACTGTCCACATTCTACATTTTAATAGTGACCATCATTATTTTAGCCTCATGTTAAGAATCTCTGAGGTAGATTTCACTATCATCTACATTTCTTTATAGATGAAGAAACTGAGGCAGAGGATAAATGCATTGCCAAGAGCATGTAGCTAAGAATTGGTGGAGCTTCAACTGGAACTCAGTTCAGCCTGGTGTCAGTTTGTGGCCATACTATCACCTCTCTACATTTTATTACCACTTCTCTATACCCCAAAAGGTGATGCTGTAAGGCACAAGGCCAGTTTTTCTGGGAGTTATTGAGGGTTAAGCTTTAGGGCACCTCACTCGCACCACCCTTCCAAAGTGTTTTATCTCATTCCATATTCATAATTGTGTGCTATTTTATCTCAAGAAGGCCTTAAACTGGAACCACTCTGATCTGATCTTTTGCCCATCAGACCATGAGCAATGTAAGGGCAGAGACTGGGGCCTGACTTTTTTTTCTGAGCTGTATCCCTGGTAGGGGGTGGGCACATAGCAAGTTCTCAGATCTGTTGAATGATGAATGACCAATGCCCTGGGGAAGTGTCCTTTGGAAGGAAGTGGACCTCAGAAATATGTTGGCTAAAAGCTAGAACCACACATATCTTTCAGGGAAGGCAGCAGAGGGCACATACACTTGCTGTGAGCAGGGCCCCACTAGACTTACCTGGGAGAGGTGTTCCATTGGCCACGAGAGTCAACTGGTCAGCAATGGCTTTGGTTCGGGAGTAGTGGTCCATGTGCTAGCAGAGGACAGGGAGAACAGAGCCCCCAGAGGGGCCAATGACATTGTGGGCAAAGTCTACACAACCTAGCTGGTCCCAGCCTAGCCTCAGGGCTGACCTTGACTTTAGCCCACACAAGGGTTGGATTCTGGGAACTCGCAGTGGGAAATGGCCAAGCCCTAAGCCCAGTTCCCCTCTTCTCCCTCTGGGTGTAAGCCACAGGAGCAATTCGGGAAGAGGAGCTGAGTTCAGGGCAATAACACAACCAAGGGCTCCTTGACTCGGAGGGTCCTGCCAGCCCCAGATGCCTGCTCTGGGGCACTGATGCTAGAGGTGTCACACACAGCCCTTCAGGGTTCACATGGTCTTTGTGCATTTACCACCTCACTTCCTGCTCTCCACAACTTCACAGGGTGCGTATAATGCCCAGAAGAAGAAAAGACAGGCTCAGAATAAAGTGACTTGCTCAGGGTCAGGGAGAGTGGCTTAAGGCCAGGTCTGTCTGATTTCAAAGTTGCTGTTAGCATGACCAGGTGAAACAGAAGAGGGCCTGTGCCACCCAGTGTTGGAACCCCTTCTTCCTGGGATCACCCTACATTGTGGAATGAATATGGCTCCGCCCATCCCTTCCCCATGGGCTCTGGTCCCAGGCCCACTGGCCTAGCTCACTTCTCCTAGAAGCCAGGTACCTTCTCCAGAGGGAAGTATGGCACAGAGTCCTCATCGCCCTCTTCTATGGGCTTCCCACCAAAAGCAACATTGACGGTGCTGGTATAGACAAGCCTTGGAACCCGCTGGCGGACACAAACTATGGCGACACGTGCAGAAAGTCAGACACACATGGACAATGTGTGCAGGCAGTTGGCTGAGGAGGTGCTCACCCCTGGAGCCTTCCCTGAATGTACAGCTGCTCAGGACGGAAGGACATCCTTTGCCTAATTTGGGATGTGGGTGTAGTCTCTGCTCTGTGGGCTTCTGGGTACCATGCCAGCTCATTCTTCCTCCTCAGTGTGGCTGTGGTCCCTGATCTACCTTGCTAGGGACAGCTCAAAAGAAAGTCTCACTCAGTGGGGCCACACAAAAATACACACTCTAGAATCAGAAAAGTGAGATGCAGGACATGCCCAGAGAGCCCAGATGGGGATCTTCTATTTTGGTACTTCAGTGACTTTGCTTACTCCTGACCCCTATACCCTGAGGGAAAACTCTGCTCCCCACATCCCCAGACCTGTAAGGCTACATTGATCCACCTCGTGCAGGATTCTGGGCAAGTCTGCAGCACAGAAAGGACAGCCTGTGAGGGGAGGGGTGGGAGAGGCAGCAAACACATGGCAAGCCACACTCAGCTCCAAGCGCCTACCATCGATCACCAGTTTGGTGCCACCAACATTTATAGACTCAATCTGCTCTTTTTGAAGCTAAAAGACAAGATGAGATGGGAAAGTTGCAGAGCTGCCTCCCTCTCGGTCGCCAAGGCTGTAAGGGCGGGGACTGTAGAATGTCCAGCTCAGAGGCAGGGCTCTCAGGGGGCCAAGAACAGAGAGCCCTGGGCTCAGGGCCCAGCCCCTCCACTGTCTTCCTGGGCAGTCAGGGAGGCTCTGTCCCTTTCTGGTTGTCAGCTCCTTCATCTGGAAGGTGAGGGCAAACCTCTTTCTGTGGTTGGCAGGATGAAATAAGCTCATGGGAGGAGCTGGGACAGAAAAAGGACTCAAAATGTGTTGAATTGTTTCCTCACCCTAAGAGTCTGTCTCCTTATCTGTATGATGGACACAGTGACACTATTCATGCCCTAGCAATGGGGCTAAAGACCGAAATATAAAAACAGCTGTCTTTCAGTGAGAGCTGCTTGTGTGCCACAGACAGGACAAGCTTTACATGTCATTTAACCCTTACATCCACACTAGGAGTTGAGTTCTACATTGACTTTTAAACTATATTTATTCTTGCTATAGTTTCTTTGTTTAACAGGTAATTCAGTCATAAGGTTAAAAATCATTCAAACAGTTAAAAGGGTTTATGGTGAAAAGGAAACTGACTTCCTTCCCACTCCTGATTCCATCTTCCTTTGCCCTCCCCAGAAGTGACCACGTTTCCAGTCTTGTCTATTACTAGAGGTTATCTACACTTATTAATATTGGCACATAGGGATGTGTGAGTATATAAATCTTGACCCCAACTTTTTTTTTTGAGAAAACAGGAAGATATCAAGCACTGTTTCTGCAATTTGGAAATTGTTCAGTATCAGCACATACTGAGTTACCTCATTCCTTTGAACTTCATTGTGTGGATGTAGCATAATTTATATAAATAGTTCCCCACTGAAGGCATTTTTTATTATTTCCTTGCTTTGTTATCAAAAACAGTGTTGTAAATATGCAAATAAGTATAATTTCTGAGTCAGAGAATATGAGTATGTTTTGATAGATACTGTTGATATAAGTACTAGTAACATCCTCACTTTACAGATGAAGAAAGGGAAGCTTAGAGAGGTTATGTTAACTTGCTCTAGGTCACACATATAGCTAGAAGCAGCAGAACTGGCATTTGTTCCCATGTCACAAAATGCAGGCTAGGTATAGCCCAAATCCTTCCTGGGGTAGTGAGTAGCGTTAATGAACACAGAGGCCCAAAGGGTAAGGGGGGGAGGCGTGCAGAACCAGAATCTGACCCCAGTCTGTGAAGTCCAGTTACTACATGTGAGGTACTCACCTTCTCAGCACCAGACATTCCATGGGAGGCCACATGGAAGACACAGTCCACTCCTTTGAAGGCATGGAGCAGGGCTTCCTCATCTCGGACATCAGCCTGAAACACAGAAGGAAGAGATGGAATAGGAGGTTTGAGACTAAGGCAGAAATACCAACTGTGCACCTTGTTGGGTCCTAGACCTGGCCCTCTGACCCCACCCAGGCTGGGCACATGTAGGACCAGGAAGGCTGTGGGGCAGGATTTATATGATTCCACAGGATGTCATCGCCATCCTCAGCCCCATTTATCAAGCTGAGTCACGGGCTGTGCTCAGTGTTTTCTGTGCACTCTCTCATCAAGCCCCCGTGAGACCCTTGTGAGGCAAATATTGTAGTGTCCCCTTTCTCTGAATGATGACATGAGGCTCAGAGATGTGGAGCCTTGTGGCCATGGCTGTCCAGCTGGGAAGTACTGGGGCAAGAGCTGGAGCTTAAACAAACAGCCTGTGCTCTTCTTCAACGCCATGCCACTGGTTTCTTATCAGATACTGTCTCTGGATCTCCACCACCAGCTGGGGCCCCCATAAGTCCCCAAAGACCCTCATCGCTGCACCTGGATGAACTCAGTCCCTGGAGACAGCTCCCACTGGGGTCTTCGGAGGTCAAGCAGGATGACAGAAGTGCCACTTTTGGCCAGGCTGGAACCCAGACTAAAGCCCAGGTAGCCTCCTCCTCCAGTTACCAGAACCTTCTGCCTAGGGGCCTCCATAGGTGTGGCCTGAATCTTCTGCTGTGGTGCTGGTGGTGGGGCTGTCATTGGCTCACTGAGCCCATGTCTGAGCCCAGACCCTACCCCTGGCCCAGGTAACGATGGAGCTCCTGGCCCAGGGCCTAGACCTGAAGCAGCAGCAGGTACAGGTCCTGGCCCAGGGCCTAGACCTGAAGCAGCAGCAGGTACAGGTCCTGGCCCATGGGCCAGAACAGCACCAGGTCCCGGCCCAGGTCCCGAAGCAGCACCAGGTCCCGGCCCAGGTCCCGAAGCAGCACCAGGTCCCGGCCCAGGTCCCGAAGCAGCACCAGGTCTCGGCCCAGGTCCCGAAGCAGCACCAGGTCCCGGCCCAGGTCCTGAAGCAGCACCAGGTCTCGGCCCAGGTCCCGAAGCAGCACCAGGCTCAGGTCCAGGCTCTGAAACTGCACCAGGCCCTGGGCCTGAGACCCCTCCCCACACCTGGCAGACAGGGCAGTTCTTCTCCCTTTGGCCTGCAGCTTTGCAGGCCTCTGAGGAGGAGCCTGCTGGGTTGGGCTTCATCCTCTACTGAGCCATGTGGATCCAGGATCTGTCCACCTGTAGGGAAAAATAGAATGTATGTTCTAGAGTTGTTCAAGTCACATGGATGATCAAACCCCTAGGGGTGAAGGGAAAATCCTGCGTTCACAGCAAACCTGTCTCTTTCAAAACTTTTCGAAGTTCTAAGATGGCTGTTGCCTTACTCAGAGGGAGTCAGAGACAAGGCAGTCAGGTCTTAGATCTTACGGCTGGGGAAACTAAGGCCCAAAGTCATACTGCATGGCTGAGATTTACACCAAGTATTTGTGACTTCTCTACCAGTTCTTTAAAATCCCAGTTTTCATGTAATACCAGAGAAAGACAGATCAAATCACATCAAACCTCACCAGATTGGGGGGTAACTGCTTTCTGACTGGGGAGCTGTAGAGGGCTTCTTGAAGGAGGAGGAGGAAGAGGAAGGGGAGAAGGAGGAGTGGGGAGGAATCTATATGGGATCCAAAAGGGCTCTCTGCCCTGGAAACTTGCACATGCTTCCAAGTGCTGCAGCCAGCCCCATTCTGATAACTGTTGCCTCAGGTTCTCCCAAGCCCTCTAGCAATACAAGTGGCTAGCACTAAGGTCTGCCCAGGCCCACCTCAAGCTTCAGGGTTAGGTCTGTGGGCCTCAGGGGCCACCACTTGAGGAGCCTGTCCTCCTCACTCTAGACTTAAAGCAAGCTAGGCTGTCAGTCACTGTCACCATCATCGTCCCACCTCCTGCTGCACCTGAGGATGAGGCTGATCAGGGGCCAGACCCCATCATCATCACTAGTAACAGCAGGAACCATGTATTGTGTGCCCACTGTGTGCCAAGCCCAGTGGATACAGAGATAGGTAAGTCTCTGCTCCAAGTAGAATATAGTGGCTGTAAAAAAAGAACAGATGTGAATGATGAGCCCCACGGTTGTTGCTGGTGGTTGGTGGCCATGGGACAGCGGCCCTGACAGCTGTAGGGACTGGATCTTTTTGTTACCCTTGTCACTGCTCTGTTCTCCAAAGCTCTGTGTGAGGACTAAAGTCATGCCCTGTACAAGCCCTGGCAGACATGATTTTCACAGGCGAAAACACACCAAAATCTATCCTATGGGATGATTTTAGTGGCATAGTCCGGGCAGAGCCTTGGGTACTTTTTTTCTGGGTGCATCTTGGGGCAAGATGCTTAAAACCTAATAGCACCTCAGTATCCCCAACTGTAAATGGACCCAAATAACCCTGGCTGCTCTGTGAACCTCACAGGGAGGTCATGAGAGGGCGGAAGGCAAATCATTGGCTGCACCATCCAGGAGGACCCAGTCGGCAGTGTTCCCAGCACCTAGAACTGCACCGAGCACCAAGCCAGCCTGGAGTAACAGCTTCGGAGAGGGGGAAGCCCCTTAGGGCTGCATCTGGGAGCGAGTGCTGTGGCCATTGACAGCGGACACTGCTGCATTTTTAGTTCTGGGAAATAAAGGTTGCTGTTCCCAGCATGCAGAGATAGATGTAAAGTGAGGCTCAGAGAACATTTGCAAACTTCAAAAGAGTCACAAATGGTGACTCCAAAGCCGGGTTTGGTAAAAGGGGGTTGGGACTGACCCCGGGCCTGTAGTCCCTTCTAGGCAGCAAAAGTGGGTGCCCCTCATGCTGAGACTGGCCTAGTGCCCGAAGCTCAGGCCCGGTTCTCCCTCCCACCTCCCCCAGTCCCCAGCTGGCCGGCAGCGCTCACCTAGCCCTGCTCCCCGCGACTGGGTTCCCGGTGCTAGTGCTAGCAAGCTGCAACCGACGAGCGTCTCCTACCAACAGAGCCTGGCAAGCCTGGCAAGCCTGGCGCTGCAGGGGCTCCACCTCCTCGGGGAGGTGTGGCGGGGCGGGGCAGGGTAGGTGGGTAGGGAGCGGGAATCGGGGGTGGGGCCGGGCTTCCTGACTGCCCGGCGCTTCCTCCCGCCAGTGTTCAACAGCAGAGACCCGCAGGCTCTCACTGAGGGGAAATTGGAGCCTGTCGACGGGTGAGAAAATATGCAGTCACTGCACACCCGGCCCTGTCCCGCCCTGCCCACAGTCGTCCATCTAGTCTCCAGCACGTTCCTTTGTTCATCCTGCCAGCCCTCACTCCTCAGCTATCCATCATCCTACTCATTGTTTCATCTTTCTATTCATCCATCCTTTCCTATTAAAAAGTTCTTTTGTCCATTCATGCACTCATCTATTCATTTGTCTTTCCACTTGTCCATAGAGCATCTATAATTCACTCCCTGTCTTCCTTTGCTCCCTCCCGCCCATCTACCCTTCCTTTTCTGCATTCTTCTATCCAGTCTCTGGGTTCACCCATTCTCCACTGCCTTCATTTTATGTTCAAGGAATGCTTCTTCAGCGCTGGCCTTTGTCTCCCTTGCAGGAGGACACAGATGGATCACACACACTATTGCTGGAAAACTCTCTTGTAAGTGGCAGTAAACTGAGCAAGGGGCAGGCATGTGCAGACAGCTTGCACAGCCACTCTGATAGCACTGAGGGACCTGTGCCCAGAAGGCCAACCCAGCAAGAGGGTTTGTTACTTTGGTCTGAAGAGGGTCACAGGAAAGGCTTCACCCATAGGAATGGCCTATAGGCACAGCTGAGTGTGGGAGAGAAAAAACTAAATCTTAGCCAGCACATGCTATGTGCAAGGGGTAAAGTATCTTGCTTAGCCCTCATAACTCTGTTTTAGCTCAATTTTGGAGACAGGGAAACCATTTCAAAGAGATGGAAGGGGCTGAGTGTAGTAGGCAAGGCATGGGGTCGGCCCTGGGTTTAAATCTTGGTTCTGCCACTTTCTTGCTCTGCGCCTTTGGTCAGCTACAAGGTTCAGTTTCCTCATCCATAAAGTAGAACTGGTGTGTACTTTACAGTTGTGACACATTGTGAGGCTTGTGGCTAACGAGGTATATGCAGAATGCTGAGTGCAGTACCTGCCCAGTCAGTGCTCAATCAGTGGTAGCTGCTATCACCACATGAGATTAGGATTCAAACCCCGGTCCTATGCTTCACCACTTCACAAACCATGTCTCTGGTTCATCCTTCCATTCACAAATATCAGCCCCCCTCTCCCATCAGCAGGGCCAGAGAACTCACGTTCCCTTGCGTAGCTGGTTGGTGGTGTCCTGCTAGGAAGCGTAGTTTATAACACAGTGTCTATGGGTTGTCTTGTGCCCCATCTCCAATTCATACACTGAATTCCTAACTCCCAGTACCTCACAATAAGACCTTAGTTGGAAAGAGACATTACACAGGTAACTGTAGGTGAAGGCATACTAGAGTAGGGCCCTAATCAGTATGAGTGGTGCCCTCATAATGGGAAATTTGGACACAGACATGTACACAGGGAGCCCACCAAGTAAAGACTGCAGTGATGCTGCCACAAGTCAAGGAACTACCAGAAGCTAGGAGACAGCCCAGAACAGACCCTTCCCAGTGACTTCAGAGGGAGGACAACTCTGCTGGTACCTTGACCTTGAACTTCCAGACTCCAGAACTGGAAGCACTAAATTCCTGTTGTTTCAGTCACTTGGTTTATGGTATTTTGTTATGACAGCTCTAGAAAAATTACAACTACCACTAGCCATTTTCTGTGTGGAGGTGATTCAGAAGGGCAATTGTCCAAGACAGTGACCAGACAAATCCACTGTGTCAGGGACCGAGGTCACTGCTGTCTCCCTTGGCCCCCATTGGAGCTTGGGCAAAGCCAAGCCTTGTTAAGCCTTAGTCAACTGTGTTTCTAAACAACTTGATAAAACTTTACTTACTTATACATCAATGTAACCACCGTGGAGATCAAGAGAGAGAGCATATCCAGCATACCAGATGGTCCCTATGTGACCCTGGTGTGCCCTCCCCACACATCAGGTACCCACTATTCTGACTTTGATTGCCAACAATAGTTTTGCCTATTCTTGTCTTCATGTAAATGGAGTTATACAGTATGTGCTCTTTCATATTCTTTTGCCCAATATTGCTTGTAAGATTGATGCACCTTGTTGAATACAGATGTCAATTCATTTTTTTTCAATTGACCATTAGTATGCCATTGTACAAATGTGTCACATGGATGAACATTTATATTGTTTGCAATATTTGCCTTCTATGAATAAAGTTGCTATGAAACATTCTGGAATATGTCTTTTGTCAAACATATGAAATCATTTCTCTTGGAGAAGAATTGCTGGCATAGAATATGCATATTTTTTACTGTAGTGGAAACTGTCACACAGTTTCCAAAGTGGTTAAACCAATTTACATGTCCCCCTGCCCTGCCCCAGCTACATATGAGATTTCAAATAGCCCTGTATCTTGACATTGTCAGTCTTTTTAGTTTTAGCTACGCTGGTGGGTATGTAGTGGTATCGCGTTGAGGTTTTAATTTGCATTTCACTGATAGGTAAGTTTGTTGAGTACGTTTGCATATATCTATGCATACCTATGCATATACGACAAAAATACCACTGCATTTGAATCTTTTGTCCATTTAAAAAAGCTGAAATGTTTATCTTTTTCTTATTGATTTGGAGTTCTTCATATATTCTGAATGAGCCTTTTAATAAAAATAAAATTTTATCTCACCAAAAATTTATTCACGCACATGTATAATCACTTCAGTTTAAAAGTAATTTTGACCCTATTAAATAAAAGGAATTTTTCTGTCTTAGAAAATGACCCCAGATCACATAATACATGATATGTATTCCATATGTACATGGTGGAACTGGGCCAGCAGAACCCACCTGTTGGGAACTGGTCTGCCTGGCTTCAGGAGTTGTAACTGCCTCCCATGGCTAAGGCTGAGTGAGAGACCTCCAGAATGTGAGCCACTAAGGAGACAAAGCTTATCTCTGGCAGCAACACTGCTTCTGCTTCATCCTCTGCCCCCAATGCTCAGTCGGTTAGTGTAAGACAGGTATGACCCCTCAGAGGAGGGGCAACCTAAGTCAGAAATGATCACTTGGGAGGCCATCACGAAAGGACTCCAGGGGGCTGCAACAAAGAGGGAGTGATGGACCCTCACTTCCTGGCTGTTCTGACATAGCTGGAGTCCCCATTTCCATCTGGGAGAAGCGCTTCCTGGCTCTAATCCACTTAAGCCTAAAAACCTATGACTGGGAAGGCTGTGCAGCCCTTTGCCAGCTTGAGTGGGATCCGGGGTGATCAGGCCAAAGAAAGAATATGTAAAATCCTGTGAAACCTGCTTTGTTTAGAATGCTCTCATTTAGACTTCCGCCAAAATGGAGGCATAGGTGGAGATGCCGTGCTTTCTCACACAACCAAGTTTAGAGACAATAAAATATTAGCAACAGAAAACACAGCCAGAGCACAGAAAATTGAACTTTTCCGAAGTCTGATAACAACGAATTCTTCAGCCTGACTGGTAAGAGGGGTGAAGCCAGCAGCTGGTGAAGTGGGGTTGCACAGGAAAACTCGGTCAGAGGGACTCAGGTGTGTAAATCCCAGGTGTGGGGTTGCAAAGGGCGAACCCAGTGAATGACCGGTGGATCTGGTGAGGGTTAAGGGCAGGAGGTTGACTGTGCTGGCACACTCCTGCTCAGATAGGCCGGCGAAGGAGTGGGCAGTGAGACGGGACCGAGTGGGTCCCAGCAACGAGAGGCAGCAGAGACAGCCGCCATTTCCCGGCTCTAACCCCAGCCCCACATACAGCGTCACAACCCAGCAACCTGAGCGACCCTGCCCTGGTGAACACCTAAGGCTTCACTCCTCACCCAGTGGCAGGAAGCAGGAGAGGGGGACGCTGTTTCCCCACTCTGATCCCACCACCACATACAGCGTCACTACCCAGCAACCCCACCCTGGAGACCCTGCCCCGCCGCTAAGGCTCCGATCCTCATACTTAATGGGGGCAAACAGACCAAAAATGGCTCAAGAAGATCTCAAAGCCCCAGAGCCCATAAATCGAAGTGATGAAGAAATAGCCAAACTTTCAGATGCACAGTTCAAAACACTGGTGATCAGGATGCTCACAGAACTGGTTGATTTTAGTCACAAATTAGAGGAACATACGAAGGTTAAACTAATTGAAATGAAGGGAAATACATAGGAAACCAATAGTGATGGAAAGGAAATGCACTCAAATCAAGGGAGTGGACCAGAAGGAAGAAAAAAATGACCAAACAGAAAAATATGAAGAAACAAGAATTCAAAAAAAATGAGGAGAGGCTTAGGAACCTCCAGGACATCTTTAAACGCTCCAACATCCGAATTATAGGGGTAACAGAAGGGGAAGAGGAAGAGCGACAAGTGGAAAACTTATTTGAACAAATAATAAAGGAGAATTTCCCCAATCTGGTAAAGGAAATAGACTTCCAGGAAATCCAGGAAGCTCAGAGAGTCCCAAAGAAGTTGGACCCAAGAAGGAACACACCAAGGCACATCATAATTATATTAGCCAAGATTAAAATGAAGGAGAGAATCCTAGAAGCAGCAAGAGCTAAGGGGACAGTCACCTACAAAGGAGTTCCCATCAGACTGTCAGCTAAGAAGGGGCTGGAAAGAGGTATTCCAAGTCATGAAATCCAAAGACCTACATCCAAGATTGATCTATCCAGCAGAACTTTCATTTAGAATGGAAGGACAGATAAAGTGCTTCTCAGATAAGATGAAATTCAAGGATTTCATCATCACCAAGCCCGTATTATATGAAATGTTAAAGAAACTTATCTAAGAAAAAGAACATTAAAAATATGAACAGTGAAAGGACAGCAAACGCACAGTTATTAACAACCACATCAAAAACAAAAGCAAGCTAAAAGGACAGCTAGATCAGGAACAGAACCATAGAAATGAAGATCTCATGGAGGATTAGCAACAGGGGAGTGGGAGGAGGAGAAGGGGGAGAAGGTACAGAAAATAAGTAGCATCGACGGTAGGTAGAAAATAGATAGGGGGAGGACAAGAATAATGTGGGAAATATAGAATCTAAAGAACTTGAGACACATGGTCATAAACTAAAGGGGGGGAATGGTAGGGGTGGGGAGTGCAGGGTGGAGGGGAATGAAGGGGGAGAATAGAACAACTGTAATGGCATAGTCAATAAAATAAAAATTAAAAAAAAAAGAATGCTCTCATTTAAATGATAAGGGTCCAAGCAAGAAGCTTGTTCCTCATAATTTTATGGCTCTTTAGCTATCTGACCCTGACTAAGAATAAGCCCTCACAGTTCTTTAAATGCTACCTATTGTATGATCCTTACCTGTATTTGTGTGCAAAACGAACCCAATAAAAAAGCCCCTTGAGCAAGAGGCTTTTGGCCCTTCTCCTTTGAGAGATCGGCTACCTTTCCTCCCCAAGCAGATCATGTCTTGGTAGTTTCACTTTCATCCATGGTGGATTGGGGAACTTTGAGGGCAAAGTTGCCCCCACACCCACCCGGTTCCCACATGCTTGAGTAGAGCACTCTCTCTGGACTGGATTCCAGAGTTGACTCAATTCAGTTTGGTTGAGCCGGGAGTGAGGGAGGTTGGTGATGAGGCTCACATATTTCTTCTTCCTCCAGGATCAGCTGATGGTGGATCTGCATACTCTCTTGGACCATGGTGGTGGGAAGCACAGAGTGAGGGGACCAGGATCTGGCCTCTGGTTTCCAGAGCTGGGCTCCTACAACTAAGCTGCATGCTCAATATTTACTATGTATCTACCACATAGCAGGTTCTGGGGACCCAGAGATGATTAAGACACCAGCCTCTTGCTAAGAGAATGCATGGCTAAGCAGAATAATTGACGAAGTAAGGAAGCATGACATGGAGTGCTAAGTGTAATAAGTGGTATCACTTCTGTAAAGACAGATGTTTGGTCAGGATGCTATGGGAGGAAGGCAAGAGGCTCCCAGCTCTTGATGGGTCCCAGGGACATCTTCAGAGTGGAGCTGATGCCATTTGATTTGTGTCTTGATGGATGAGCAGGAGTCACCAGGCAGAGGATGGCAAGAAGTACATTCCAGGGAAGGGGTTCAGTGCAGGGCTTCCCAGCAAGAGACAATCTTGTGACTAGAGTGTAGGGCGTGAATGTTAGGGTAGATCGTGGGATAGCAGAGCCTTTTCTCCCTCAGCTTCCAGGGAGCCCTCATGCAGGAACAGTACCTCCTAGGGTGTGGGCCACAGCTTCCCAGGTCACTTTGCCCTCAGGGTCAATATGTGCTTAGTAGGTGGTTCTTTGTAAGATGGTCTTTCTGTTTAGAGGAATCTTTAAAAAAATTTATTTATCTTTAGAGGGGAAGGGAAGGAAAGAGTGAGGGAAATATTAATGTATGATAGCCTCTCATGTGTCCCCTGCTGAGAACTGGCCTGCAACCCATGCACACGCCCTGACTGGGAATCAAACCGAGATTCTTCGGTTCGCATGCCCGAGTTCAATCCACTGAGCTACACCAGCCAGGGTGGAATCATTATTTTTGATCCCTTCCAATAGTTACTACCATCCACAAAACAGAGCATGCTTCCTGGCCCTTAGTGAACACTCAACAAATGGGGAGTCCATCCCCTCACCTGAGATGACTTCTCTACAAAATAATCACATGACCTTTCTTATGTATTGTTTTTCTTCTGGAACTGGAACTTAGTAGACAGGAATGAATAAAGATGGTCCTGTCAGTGCTCAGATTTCTGGGCCCAGGGAAAAAAGCATGGCAGGAGGAAGCCTTGGAACAAGGGTGCATGACCAGGGTGGTAGGACTGGAGCCATGTGGCAGGTGGGAGGGACTGCTTGGAGGGCATACCTGAATGACTGGGCCTGCCAGAGGAAGGTTCTGGCCTTAGTGATCACCTGGGCCAATCTCCTTAAATCATCTCTTTCAAATGATGGCAACACAGAGTCCTTAAGAAAGAGAAATAAGTGTTATGTTAGACCCATTAAGTGACTAGATGGGACCTGAAAATCCAAGCTCTCAGAACTTTAGAGCTAATTAAATGCAGCCTCCTCTGCAATGCAGGAAATCTTGTGGGCCTCAGCTTGCATGTTTTCAGGAACAGGGAGCTCATTACCTGATAAGGGAGTCATTCTACAAACAGGATACTTTGAAAGAAGATGTCTAAAAGTCAATGTAGGAAGTGGGTAGTAAAAAACCAAGATGGTCTCTTGCCTTCACTGAAGTCAGTGGGGCAAGTGGTATATGTTCCTAATCTCACTGTTAACTCAGTAAAATCTATTCAGCCCTTTCTCTATTTCTTATAGGAAAACAGAACTTTGCAGACATTCTTTTTTCTTCTGTCACCCAATGAAATTCCAGAGCCTGACCTTAAGAGGAAAGTTCTCAAACTCTGCAAAAGAATCTGAGAGATGAACTGTCTCCTTTCCCTGGCAGCATTGTGGGGATGATCCCATTCTGCATCCAGAAACTATTCAGAGTCTGATTTCATAAGGCACTAAACTGAGAATCTTCACAATAAATTCCTTTTCCTGTGTAATAAGGACATCCATTACTTTTACTGGTTCTGGATCTGTCCTCTGTATTATTTGTAATATTTGGCCCTAATTAGTTACTTGAACAAAGAAATCATGCAAAGCACTTGACTTCAAAAATTATGCCATGTTCTGATACATAATATTTAACCTCCAAAAAGAAATCTGGAATTCTGGTTGGCTGTGTTACTTGATAATTTGTCCTGAAAATGTTGTAATTGACAACAGAACATTCTAAAAGTTAGAAATATGTGCATAATTTTTCTAATAGGTCAGAAGAGGATCACTTGATACCTTCCTCTTGTCCCACATGTGTGACAGAACCCATGACATTTCCAAATTTACTACTTAACAGGTCATTTGAATATCTGTTTCAATGGATTTAACACAAGGAGACAGAAATATGCAGGAATTAAAACAGAGAGCTTAGGAGCATGGGTCTCTGAGCTCCGGCTTTTTCACGTACTCTAACTTCAGGTATATTCCCAAGCCTGGCTAAGCCTGTTTCTTCATCTGTTAAATGGTAGAAGAATAGATGGGAGGATTAACAGAGACCATCTATATAAAGCAATGAAAATGCACATATTAAGTGCTCAATAATGCAAATTGTTGTATCATTAAATAACACCTGAGCCTCCACTTCTTTCCCAACCTTGCAGAGAGTTGGCCTAAGAGGAGAGCAGCAGGGAAGTACAAGCCTTAAAGTCAATACTTTGACAAGAGGACAGGGATCTTTTAGGAGGAAACAAAACATGTCTGTTGACATGTTAACGAGCCATTTCAGTGGCTCTACAACCTTCCCTTTCATCCATGAAGCCCCTGGTCAGCAGACAGAGAATTTGGAAGAGCCAGTCATCACCAACAAGGCAGTGATAGCATCCCCCAGTGAGGGAGGCCAGATTTCTCAGGAAGTTAGCTTCCACGCTGCAGGGGTGGACAGAGAGTGCTGGGGCCAGGATGACTGACCCAACCAGCCAGTTCCCTGGGAGCTATGGGAACCTTCTGAGGAAGTCTGTGGGGCAATGGGCTAAGGCTTTGTGCCATTGAGGCCCTGTCAGCATCACCAAGCCCACTCTCCCGGCCAGACTATGGGCAGTGGCAACTGCTGCCGCTTCATGAGGTGGATTCACCCTGCTGGTATCACCACTTAGACTGGACTCCTCAAAGCACATGGCCTGCATACTCTAGCCCCTTCGCTAATTGGAACTCCATCCAGTGCCTACTAGTGACACATGTGACCTTTATGGAGTTCATGACTTAGACCCAGAAATAAAATATGCACCTAAGTGTATATCTAATATGCACTTCTTAGATAATTACATTATTTGCCAATAACTTCACTATTTGCCAATAATGTTAACTTTTTTCTGAAGCACTTACATTTTTCTTTCCTTACACATGTTCTTCTTTGGTAATCGTTAATAAAAATAACCACAACAATGCTGCTTTAAACCTCTTGCCTTAAGTATTCATAACTGTGCTCCCAGGAAAGATGGAGGGAAAGCACAACACGTGACTGGGAATAGGTTCAAATCTGTTTCCATGCTGCAGAGTCAGAACAGGCCCTACTGCCGGGTAAGTTAAAAGTACAGAGAGGGGCGCTGGCTGGTGTGGCTCAGTGGATTGAGGGTTGGACTGTGAAGCAAAGGATCGCTGGTTTGATTCCCAGTCAGAGCACACACCTGGATTATAGGCCAGGTCCCCAGTAGTGGGTACACAAGAGGCAACCACACACTTATGTTTCTCTCCCTCTCTTCCTCCTTTCCTCCCTCTCTAAAAATAAATAAAATCTTAAAAATACAGAAAGGGGCTTTCACGCTGGTGTGTTCCTGCCAGGCCCTCCCAATTCCTGACTCACAGGACTGGTCCCTCCTGGGACCAGTGTCTGTGGGTTAGGCAAGCTGCTCAGCCCAACTTCCTGTGGCCCACCTGCCCATGCAGCTCAGGGAAATGTGTGTATTTTCACATTGCACTCCTCCTTGAGTCTTTGCACTTCACTTAGTATAAGGCTGAAGCTTGTGTCTGGCTTCCCATCAGTCAGGAGGTACAATTCTTCCACATCATGAAAACTGAAAGCTTTCTGAAAGAGTTTGTCTGGTTCAGGGATGGGTGCTCACCAGGAAGAGAAAAAACAATGCCCTGCTGTTCCCAAGGACAATGTGTTTGACTGGATCCCACTGACTTGTCCATTAAGACTGAGAGGCTCCCCCTTTCAGCCCACCACTGACAAGAAGCCACTGATGTTTAGGAGAAAGAGCATGGTTCACTTTTAGGCTGGTGATCCCACACAAGCCACTTATCCTCTCCGAGCCCCTGTCTTCTATAAAGTGAGAACAGTGAGCATCCCTTTCTCATGGGTTGTTGAGAAGATGAAATGGTTTAACACTGTGTACATTCTAAAGCGTTATACAATATCCATATATGGGATGATATTATTTCTTTTTTGTTATGAGGTCAGGCTCAGGGCTGGAACTTGCCAGTAATGCTTGTAAGACTGAGGTGAGCATGGAGATAGGTCACCCATTGCATGGCCTGGTGACATGCTGTGTCTGAGGTGTCCACCAGAGTGTCCTGCAATAGTTGTGGGTCCTCAGAAAAGCTGATCAGGTTAAAACTGAGGGTAGGAGGGTAGAGACGGGGGAAGAGATTGGTTAGAACATGTCAGTCTAGGTTGAATTCTGGCGAAGTAACCTCCGTGAGGACCATTCATGCCTGTTAGTGAAGACCCTCACAAGGAGCCCCAGGGACCCTCAGGGAGAGGGCTGTGGATTACCTGAGAATAAGTAGGTACACAGTCAAGAGTCTGGGTGCAGACAGAAGTGAATAAATACCCCTCAGCCACTTGTAGGTTATGTGATCTCAGACACATTATTTAACCTAAGACCTAGTTTCCTTTTCTGAAAAATAGGGATGAAAATAACCCTTGGGGTCTTTGTGAGAATTGAGCAAAACCATGCATGTAGGTACTTAATAAATGTTTGCTCTTTTCAATATTAAGACAAAAATGAGTCCCAGCCTAGGACCAGTCTCCTGCTGTCCCCTTAGGGTTAAACCTTCTGAGTAGAGACACAAATAACCCACTGCCTCCACTCCTTAAAAATCAAGTACTGCTGACATCACAATTCAAGGTGGTTCATTTCCTCTGTCTGTAATTGACCTTGGGCCTGAGCAGGATTTCTAAAGTCCACTTTACTTCTACAGGAGAATTCAGTGTTCTTTTGTGTTCAAATAAGCTGTTCATTAGAACATTTCAGAAATGGCCTGGCACTATGCAACAGTGAGGAGGGAGTACCTTTGGCCAGATAAGCCCCAGGAACTACTCCTTTGATCTTCTTCCACCCCTCCACCCCTGCTTCTTACCTGTCACAGTGCTTCCTCATCTGCTCCCAAATCAGCAGAATCAGCTCTGTCTTCACCTTCTACAGGTAGGGGCCCATGGACCCTGAGCGGTCCAGCAGGATGCACACTCTTTTCTCCAAAATGGTGCCAAACAATCAGCGGCGCCCTGCTCAAGGTGGGCAAAGGCAGGGAAGGAGTGAGGGGTCGCCTCTCCTGGCTGCTTCTCCTCACTGTTGCTGTTAAATACATGGTCTTGCAATACCAGTTGCCTGCTTGATCATTGATCAGCTGTCAACCCACAGGGATACAGCCTTTGTGTGTTGTTAGAGGGGTCTATTGTCCTAGGGTAGATCTGGTTGCGGGTCTGGGCTTTGAAAGATGAAGATTTCAGCTGTGGCTTTGCCTGTGACCACTTGTATAAGTGGTTGTAATTGCTCTGGGCTTGAACTTTCTCATTCCTCAAGTTAAGTAATTGAACTAAGTGGTATCTCTTAGTTTGGGGCTGGAAAAATATAACAGAGCACAAAGTCTATTGACTGACCAAGAGAAATTAACTGAGCATCTGCTAAGTGCCTGGTGCTGTGTGAAGTGCAGTGGTGAGTGACAGAACTTGCAAACAGGCAAGAAAGACAGATGTTAGAGCTGTGCTGTGGACTCTGACCGCATTAATGAGACACATAATGGGGAGAATCTGATTTGGAGAGTTGTGGACAAGGAGCAGATAAGCAACGACTGCAGGATGCACAGTAATTAGCTGAGGGAAGAGTTGGGGTGTGGAGAGAACAGCCTATAAAAGGCTGGTGGAAGGACAGAAGAACATGGCTTGTTTGAGAGACAGAGGTCAGTGTGCGGAATAACAAAGGCTGAGGAGAGAGACCCACAGGGAAGGGGCAAGAGAGAAAGCTGGAGAGGTTGTTAATAGATTAGAGATTTATCTCACCGGGAAACAGAGAGGGCCAGTGACTTGCCCAGGGTCACAGAGACTGGCAGTGACAGCCAAGATTCATACCCAGATCCTTTGGTCTATACTTTAAGGCAACTGACAACCACTGCCCTTCCAGAGGCTTCAACAAGTGGCAGTCATTGCTTTGACCCACTGCCCAGGGACTGTGACTACCAGGGGACTGGACCAGATGAATTTACATAGGACCCTAAGTGACCCGCACAGGGTTCTCTATAATGAAGGCTCCTGCTCTACTTCCTCTTATTGTCCCAAGACCCCACCTGGCCCCAGAGCCTAAACTCCCTCCCATTAAGTTGTAGCTGTTTGCTTGGCCTCTTGGGCTTGATACTGAGCCCACCTCCTACTCTCCAGCATACCTTCCTCTGACATGTGAGCTGGGCTCTCCTCAGCCAGCCTATCCATTCACCTCTTCCAGAGGGGCCTTGATACTCTTTGTAAAGAATAATGGGGGACTTCTCTCTGTCAGGACACCCTCATCTATACCTTCATGGGCAGTTCTATGGGATCCAATCAAGACTAAATTGAGCCTCTCTAGGGTTAGCCCCTCAGTCACACCCAGAGAGCCAAGGTGTGGAAGATGGCCCTGCAGAACACATCTGGATGACCTGGGTCCCCTCTGGTGCCCTTTGACCCATGCTCTATCTCCCTGTCATCCAGCACCTTGCCTGACCTCCAAACCCAGAAGTCATGCTGTATCTGGATGACCCTCCTGGCCAAATCCCAAACCTGACAGTTTGTGAATGCCTAGCCTGGGAAGGATTGACTCTGGTGTCCCTGAGATTGACCTTCTTTTTCCCCTGAGGCCCCTCCAACCTCCAGTAAAGCAAGCAGGCTCACCAGAGAACAGCCACCGCAGCCTCTGGACACAGCACCTCATCACCTTCTTTAGGCACATGAGGTACACTTCAATTTCCCTGTGCATCCACTGAATGTGTCTCACCATCCCCTGGATTAATGCAGGCAAAGGAAAATTTCTCCCCTCACTATTTCTTCATGTCCCCACCACTCCCTAAAAAAATTTAGTCCATTGTGGCTTATAATCTCCCAAACATTGTTTAACATAAATTTTTGTTTTAAAGCTTTTATTATATTACTAGGTGTATGGTTTGAGGATGGATTGAGGAATTGGGATGATGGTTTTGTGGCAAATGCAGTCATAGTATTCATGAGAAATAAAGTATCTCTAATTTTAAAACAGAAAAGCCCTTATGGTAGAATGGCAGTCCATACATTTCAAACCAAAGGGTGGCCTTGGATAGAGAGGGGGATGGCATGATTGAACTCTCTTAAATTTTTTCTGGTAGATAATTTTGAATTTGGTGGATTTTTTTAGCTTTATAGTTTCCCCTCATCTTGATCATATTGCATAAAAGGGCAAGGAGAGAAAATGGGGTCTTTACAAAAAAGCATAGTTAGATTTTCATTTTGTACTAAATATACATGGTTCAGTGTTAAAGCAATGAGAAAACAGGAGTCCAAAAGTAGGAAATAGACTAGAACCCTCTCACCTCCTGTGATCAGCCCTGTTCTTGCCATCCTACCAAGACCATCATCAGTACTGGGGGACAGAGTCCTTGTCATTGAGTATGTCAGCTGCTGCCCTGTGTTCTCAGCCACTGTCTTTGAGCATCACTCCAGTGAGCCCATTTAACCTGAGTATGGCCCCAGGCTGCCCGAGGGGTCACTTTTATCCAGCAGGATTCTGCATAACCTGTTCCCCAAGAGCAACCCCACTTTGGTGGGCCGGGTTTTGCAGGAAGAACAGAAGCCACTGTGTGTATATTCACAGGAAGTTCTCCCCAACAAACACTGCTACTCGTGGCTAAGGTGAGAGTTGGGAGAGAATAACACCAACAATAAAATCCCAACTTACATTGATCTCTATGCTGGGGAAAATGCTGCAGTATTTGGCTGCTGCCAGCCTCTGTACTGACTTTTGATGAGTGCAATTGGGACCAATGTGGCTGGAGATCCCCATCTTCAGTTTTTTTTAGCATGTAATTTGCTACCCACTTTAGAGTAAAGAAAAGAACTATTATCTTGGGTAATTCAGGTTGAATTATTGTCTGACCCGTCTATTAAAATCTCCTCTTTGAAAACTCTCATGTTTGAAATGTGAGGTTCCTTGGTCTTCACTGAGAGCATCCATTGCGTGTAGATTCCATCCCCAGAGCCAGGGAGAGCTGTACAAGAAATAGGGGCAACAGGGAACAAAATGTATTGAGTATCTGCTACTCCCTCATCTGGTGGACATTGTTGCTTCCCTAACATCATTTCAACCTCCCCCAACAAAATTTGGATAGAATCCCTCACTAATCTCACACTGTAATCCAATGAGGATAATTTCAGTCTACTTGTCACAAGAGTTACAAGAATGAGCAGGCTCCATGCAGTCAGAGCACAGCCTCCAGGATTGACCAGTCAGAACCAAGCTCAGACTTCACTGAATGATTGAAGGAAGAAAGGCATTCTATCTTCTGGATGAACAAGGAGTATCTCTGTTGGTGTGAGCCAAACCCCTGGCTGGTATGGCTCTGTGGGTTGAACATTGACCAAAAGGTTACCAGTTTGATTCATGGTCAGGGCACATGCCTGGGTTGTGGGCCAGGTCCCTAGTTGGGGGCTCATGAGAGGCAGCCAATTGATGTTTCTCTCACACATTAATGTTTCTCTCCTTTTCTCTCTCTCCAAAAATAAATAAATAAAATTAAACAAATAAATTTACATAAAATATACTTCAATTTGTCATCAGTCTTAAATGATAGGTACAATTGTCTTCATTTTACAAATGAGGACATTGAGCCCCAGCCAGTGTGCTCAGTTGGTTGAGTGGCATCCTGCAGACCAAGGGGTTGCTGGTTTGATTCACTGTCAGGGCACAGGCCTGGGTTGCAGGTTTGGTCCTTGGTCGGGGCATGTAGGGAGGGCAGCCCATCACTGTTTCTCTCTTACAGTGATGCTTCTCTGCCTCACTTTCTCCCTCCCTTTCCCCCTTTCTAAAATGAAAAATAAAAATAAAATAAAATGAGGACACTGATATTGAATGTAGTGAAGGGACTTGCCCAAGGTCACACAGATAGGAGATGGTAGAATCATATTTCGAACCTTGGTGTATTTAATCCTTAGCAAGTCATTCTAAGCAGGTTTCTTCTCACTTCCACGTATGCCCACCCTCCTAGAAGTAATGGCTGGTATTGCTTAGGGAGACATGTGCTGGTGCAGACAATTTAATAACTCTTCACTTGAGCAGAAGAGCTAGTCATTCTTAAGCTTGCTTCTTCCATGAGGGTACTTTCTATATACTGAGCCTGGGAGAAACAGAGTAAGGTTACCTCGTGTTCCTTTCTTCCCTTCCCTCCCTTCCTCACACTACTCCCTTTTAATGTCAATTTCTCTATCAATTGAGTCAAATGTAAAATCCCTTAGGTGCAATTTGCTGAGAGGGCTAACAGGAGGCTCTGAGGTGTATCAGGGCAAGCCTGCTGGGACCTCTCTTCTCCATACCTCAGTGACTGGGTTCCTGGGAACTGCACCATTTCGCAGCAATGAGGCTGGCCTGGAGACTCATCTCCATGCCATCCCCTGTCAGTCTAGGAGCTGAGGACACTCCCTCATGGATGGAATGGGAGTGCTGCACCCAGGGGGCCTCTGGAGACTTTCAGCGTTGACTTGTCTCATTCTCCAGTGTCAAAACTGCACATCCATCTTCCTGGTCTCAGAGACCTGACTGGTTTGAGGATAGGCCTGGTCCAGAGGCACTGCTACCCATGTCCTGGGACCCTAGGAGGGTCTCCTCCTCATTGGGCCTGCTGACCTTACAGTTCCCACAGGACAAAAGGGCTGTACAGACACCTGTATCCTCCAATTTACCCACATTATTCCCAGTTTCTATAAAACAGTGAGAGAGACATCTACGCTTCCCTTGCCTGGGTCTTCTTCCATTCTGCAGTGTCCTCTGGGTGACTGAGCTGCAGTTGGAGGGCATGTGGCCTGTGGGCTAGAGTGAGTGCTTCCCATACCCAGTCTCATTTCATCCTCTCTGTTCCCCAGTTTACAGGTGAGACAAGCAGGACTCCGTGTGAGACATAGAGTAAATATTCTGCCCAGGTTCTATGGATTCCAGGGCTCTGTTCTGAGCCACTCTGCTATCTTTGATGTTGGAAGTAAGATACACACTCTTAGATTTTAGGAGTTGAGTCTTTTCATGAAAATACCCATGCCTGTCACGACCAGTGGGCACTGGTCATTATTCTTATCCCCTCTGAGCCTGAATTTCTACATCAGTAAAATGGGGAGCTAATAGATTGCCTGTCACATAGAACTAATTGTTACAAGCTTTAAATGGGAGTCTTAGTTGAAGGCCTGGCACATGATCAAAACTCATGATCATTGATCATTTTGGTTACTATCATTAATGCGTCTCAGCCATGCCCATGCACCCACCCTGAGGCCAGCTTCACCTGGTGGGGTGCTCACTTTGTGACTTAGTGGCCGCCACACCACAGCTTTCAATAAGGGACTTCTTTCTCCATCAGGGTCATCTCTACTGCTCTAGAAAACAGGCAGTCTTTCCCATCAGTGGCCTATTTTCTTTTTAATATATTTTATTGATTATAGCATTACATTTGTCCTATTCCCTCCTCTTCATTCCCCTCCACCCTGCACACCCTCCCCACCATCCCCCCTTTCATTTATGTCCATGTGTCACAAGTTCTTTAGATTCTGTATTTCTCATACTATTCTTGTCCTCCCCCCCTGTCTATCTTCTACCTACCATCTATGCTACTTATTCTCTGTACCTTCTCCCCACTTCTCCTCCTCCCACTCCCCTGTTGCTAACCCTCCATGTGATCTCCATTTCTATGGTTCTGCTCCTGATCTAGCTGTCCTCTTAGTTTGCTTTTGTTTTAGGTGTGGTTGTTAATAACTGTGAGTTTGCTGTCCTTTCACTGTTCATATTTTTTATCTTCTTCTTAGGTAAATCCTTTTAACATTTCCACTTGCTCTTCCTCTTCTCCTTCTGGTACCTCTATGATTCAGATGTTGGAATGTTTAAAGATGTCCTGGAGGTTCCTAAGCCTCTCATTTTTTTAAATTCTTGTTTCTTACCCTGGCTGGTGTAGCTCAGTGGATTGAGCGCAGGCCTGCGAACCAGACAATCGTGGTTTGATTCCCAGTCAGGGCACATACTGGGTTGCAGGCCAGTTTCCTGCAGGCCAGTTCCCAGCAGGGGACGCATGAAAGGCAACCATACATTGATGTGTCTCCCCTCCCTTCCCCTCTAAAGATAAATAAATAAAATCTTTAAAAAAAATAAATTCTTGTTTCTTCATATTTTTCTGTTTGGTTGTTTTTTTCTTCCTTCTGGTCCATTCCCTTGATTTGAGTGCCAGTTTCCTTTCCATCACTATTGGTTTCCTGTGCATTTCCCTTCATTCCAATTAGTTTAACCTTCATTTCTTCCTCTAATTTGTGACTAAACTCAACCAGTTCTGTGAGCATCCTGATCACCAGTGTTTTGAACTGTACATCTGATAGGTTTACTATCTCTTGGTCGCTTAGAATTATTGGCTCTGGGGCTTTGAGCTGTTCTTGAACCATAATGTTTTGGTCTGTTCATGCCTGCTACGTATAAGGGGCAGAGCCTTAGGTGTTCACCAGGGTGGGGCGACCCAGTCGCTGGGTTGTGATGTGGGGGCCAGGTCAGAGAGGGGAAATAGCGTTTGTTCCACTCTCGGATTTTGGTCCCCTCTGCTGCTTCCCTCAAGCAAACCTGGGTGCCCTGGTGCCGGCTCCCAGGTGTGTGGGCCTGTGCACCCTCCAGGACCCTGTGGGTCTCTCCAACAAACTCTCTGTGAGCCTGGGAGTCTCTCCCGGCACCTCAACCCTGAAAGTCTTTCCAATTGGTGCTTTCAGGCTCTAATTCCCATCCCTAGGACCCTAGCCTGAGCAGTCTGTCTCACTGCTCACTCCTTCCCTTGGTTTATCTGCACGTGAATGTGTGACCGTGGTCAGCCAGCCGCCTTGCGCCCTCACTGGGTCCACCTGCTGCCACCCCACACCTGGGATCTGCCGACTGCTGCCTGAGCACCTGGGTCAGTCTGGCCAATCTTTCCTGCCTGACCCGGCTGCACCAGCTGCTGACTCTGCCCCTCTTACCAGTCTAGCTGAATGGTTCATTGTTGTCAGACTTCCGTACAGTTCAATTTTCTGTGTTTTGGCTGCGCTTTTGTTACTAAAACTTTGTTGTCTTTAAACTTGGTTGTGCGAGGAGGCACAGTGTTTCTACCTATTCCTCCATCTTGGCTGGAAGTAGTGGCCTATTTCCTATGGCAGACATACCCACTCATCTCAGCTTCAAACTGTCAATTAGGAACCTTTGCAGGGAGGGGCCTAAAGAACTGGATTCCTCAGTCATTTTTGCCTCATCTCCTGCTGCAGATTCAGAGGAGACTCTTGACTTTTTTTTCTGGTATTATAGTATACTTTATTATTTTTTATAGTTTTTAAAAAATTTCTTTCCACTACCATATTCCCTTTATACCCTCTTTCACATCTCCCAACCTCCTCCCCACCAAGACTCTGGCTTTGGGGGTAAAAAAAAAAAAAGTATGTGTGTGTATTTCCCAGAACTTTCTTCACCAATTACCCACTCCTCTTCCCACTGGACTAGGACTTGTGGGCCTCCAGCATGATAGGAAGCCATTCAGGTAACTGTGCCCTATTGGGTACCTCAGTTTTAAGGGAGGGGTGCCTTGATCACTGGACACAGCTGGAATGTGGTAATAGTTAAGCAAAATCACCCAGAGCCCTGGACCAGGTGAGGCCTCTGTGTGAGCTGCTGTGAAAAAAGCTTGAAGATGCCACTCCAGGGGTGCCCTGCCCTGGTTTCAGGAGGCCCAATAAAGTCCTCAGTGCGGCCTAAGCCCCTCACACTGAGCTCAGGTAGTACTGTAGGCCCAAGAGACAGACCCTGGAATTGTGGGGTTTCACTTCAGAACTTAGGGAGGCTCCTGAAACCCAGTGGGGTTCCTTGAAGGAATACAGTGCCTGTGTGAACAGCATTTTTCAGAAACACAGCTGTCCTGGGACGGCAGTAAGCCACACATTGCCATGGATGTCCTCACTCTGAAACATGCTGGTTCGTAAGGTCAGCCAGTTAGTGAAACGCTGAGGAGCTGAAGGATTTCTTTGCTCCTTCTGTTTACAAGTACCATGGAGTCTGGCATCTCCCCCAATCACAGCTCTATAGGCCCTTCTGGTTGCTGAGGCGGTTATTTTATGCTGGACTTATCTGACAGGCTGTGCCTGGATATGAATATCCCAGGGCCACCTTAAGGCTCCTTTCAGGCCCTGGCTAAGCCTAGGGCAGCTGCAGCCAGAGCCTATTAGATGCCCTAACATCCTCATTTCTTTGCCCCTGAGAGACTCTCCAGGATAAGCCTTCCTGCCTTATAGTCATGGTGGGTTTCAGTTCCATGGGGTCCTTAGAGTCAACCCTGGGATATCCAGGCAGAGCCAAAGATGGTGGTGGGTAGGGGCACAGAGGCAGAGGTGGTCCCAGAGCTGAGAAGCAGATCCCTCAGTGAAGTTCCCCCCTCTAGAGATCAGGGCTGGAGTCAGCCACAGGACACTCACCACTGAGGACCCTGCCCTGATTCCCCTGACCCTGGGAGCAGAAGGCCTGGTCCAGACCACTTCAAGATCTAGGCAAGACCAGGAGACAAGGTAGAAACAAAATCCTGTTTGTTATTAGGGAGGGGGAGTCAAACCATTCTGACCGCCGAGGGGGCTGTGGTCTTGCAGAGTTTCTTGGGCTGACTTCTTTGCTTGAGCATCTTTGGCTTTTCTTTTGGGAGGGCTGCACTTTCAAGATCTTTCCTGGACTTGTTCTTCAGGGAGGACACTAGTAAGGCACACTGAAACAAGGACTGGGAGGGTTAGCTGCACCCCAGCCACAGCACACAGTCTTCAAGCAGGGCACACACACACACACATACACACTTGAGAGAGACTGGGTCTGCTAGGATCATTGGACTCCTCTTTCTGTCCCTGGAATGCCTCTTGGGGCAGAAAGCCCTGTGCATCAATCCTATCACTAATAAGTACCATGTATGCAGGTCCTGGGATGCACCAGTCACTGGGCCCATTAAAGGCTGGGCAACTCAAACCCTCAAACCCAGGTGGGCAAGTGCTATCTTATCCCCATTTCACAGATGAGAAAAGCCAAGCTCCATGAATGTAAGGGACTTGCCCAAGGCCATGATTCTAGTATATAGAGGACATTCAATCCAAACCCAGGTGGGTGTGGTTGCAAAGCCAGTGCCCTTTCCACATGTGACCCGGCATCTACTGTTGGTCAGCCTACCATGTGTCTGGAGCTAACTCTGGATATTGGCAGAATAGTGTGCGATACTTGGTTCCTTTGCCCACACATTTCTCAACTGCTGAAAGGTTTTCTAGTAATTATTCTCAACCAAAGCACTAGGAGATATTAGAATGTAAATAACATCTTAACGAAGGACGGATTAAACTATTATTGCCCAAATACCTTGTGAATGAGTTTATCAGATGAGGGAAGTGGACTGATGTGCATCTGAGAAGAAGGGGTTAAAAAAACAGCAACAAAGAGGGGCCCTTTTAGGGAGGACAGTTAAGGCACATTTAGGGGAGCAGATACAATGGACAAGGAGGAAAAGAATGTGAAGAGGTGGCCCTGCCCTTCCAGGAGCTCACAATGTGTTGTTCTGCAAATGGCAGTCATTAAAGTGTGAGTCAGGCTGAGTCACCTCCTCAGGCTCCTCTACCCCCCCACCTTGACCATGGCCACCAACCTGCTCTCTGTCCACCCCCATGGTTTGAAGAACTGCCCCAGTCCTTGTGTCTTCTCACCGGTCTGAAGGATATCCCCACTTGTTGCCTCACAAACTCACCTTTGTCCCACCTCCCAGCATCTATCATGATTCTGTTCTCTATCTCTTGGTCCATCATGTAACCCAGTGAGGAACTTGGGAGTTACTCTGGGATTTTTTTCTTCTCCCTCACCCCATACAGTTAGTCAGCCACAACTTTGGTCAATTTCTCCCTAAATGTTCTCATGTCCATTCCCTTATTTCTATTCTCACTGCTACTGACAAGATCTGGCCCCTTACTACCTCTCTAATCTCACCTTCTACTGCTCAAATCCCTTCTCTGAAAAAGTTACATTTTGGTGAGTCTTAAATAACAAAGAGAAATTCATGGACAATCTGGGAGGGGAATGGCAGGCTAAGGACACAGCAGGTGCAAAGGTCCCGAGTTTAGGAATGAGCTCGATGTGTTCAAGGAACTGAAAAGAGGTCACCACAATATAAATCACAGACTTAAAACCAATGACTTATAGGAACCCCTCATGTTTTATCTGAAGACTTGAGGGTCAGCAGATCAGGACATGAGGAGGAAAGCTGATGTAGGATGAGTCATGTCACCAGAAAGATATGTTCAAGTCTGAACTCCTGGTACCTGTGACTGTGACCTTACTTGGAAATAGGGTCTTTGTAGATATTAGGGTCTTTGTAGATATAAGTAAGATATTAATTAATGAGGTTATACTGGTGAAGGGTAGGCCTTTAATCTAATGCGACTTGTATTACTTCGAGGAGAAGGGACACAGAAGCACAGAGAGGGAGGAGAGCCATGTGAAGATGGAGACAGAGATGGAGTTGTGCTGCCATAAGCTAAGGACATAACTCGCTAGTGATGAGGACACCCTCCTTAACCAAACTTCAGTCAGGCTCCTCTGAGCCCTCTTCTCAACTAGGCTTCAACTATGGATGCTAAATCCAGTTTTAGCAAAGAATCTTGCTAAGTCAGTTTAGAGAATCCCCTGCCCTTGATATCTGATCAAGTTCTTCATCCCCTATACTGATATCTAAGTCCTTGACCTGCCTTCAGCAAGAATCCTGCTAAATCCATTTAGCAAGAATCCCCCTATCCTTAAAAGCTAACTAAGTTTCTCTTAGTAATTTCATCCATGACTTATCATTCTGCTTACTGGCTATAAATCTCCAGCTGTCTTTGCTGTGTTTAGAGTAGAGTCAATCTCTCTCTTATTGCAATAATCTTGCATAAAGTCTTCCTTGCCATTTTTAACAAGCATCTAGTGCAATATTTTTCCTTTAATACCAGCTGCCACTGAGGAATTGTACCCAGAGTTTTCAGAGGTAGCATGGCCCTTCTAACACTATGATTTCAGACTTTTATCCTCTGAAATTGTGAGAGAATACATATCTGCTCTTTTAACCCTTCTAGTTCAAGGTACTTTGTATGGTAGTCCCAGAAATAATACAGAAGCCAGCACAGTCATTTGCCCCATCCCTAAAGCATACCTTTTGGGAATAGTTAAGAGCTTTTTCTAGCTCACACATGATGGTGTTGATGTCATCACTTTCGCAAATGCCTGGAAACAAAGCACATTGTGAGTGTGGGAAGGGATATAGATACTGCAAGCATCTGCATCTGTACACAGAAGGGTTGTGTGGAGGTGACCTGAGCTGGAGAGGCAAGGTGGGATCTTAATGGGCTGAGCTTACCAGCCCCCACCCCAACACAATCCAGAGGTGGTCACAGCGAGGTTACCAACAGTGAGGCTGGCCTTGGGACACAGCCCCCTGGCACCCAGTCAAGAGCTTGCACCCACAGGAAGAGCAGGTTGGGGGCAAAGGTCCTGCTATTACAGTGAATAAAATCACCCATCTTGGGATTATGTAAAGTGGGTAATGTCCGTAGTGAATATTGATGACAAGGCCAAGAGGAACTAAAGAATAATGACTAAAAAGACAGACTCTGAAGTTGAACCTGTGTCCTACTTTTAGACCACATGGGATGGGGTGAAGAGAGCTTCTTTGGCACCTGCTGTCTTTCAAATGTCTTCAGCTCACAATAAGTGTTATGCCCACTTGGCACATTTTGATCCCCTATAACTATCACAAATTTTTTTGCTCTGTGCTCCATGTACAACTGTCTTGTCAGCCACCTGTTACAAACATTCCCCCATTGGGAAACACTAAATTAAGGGCCCCTTAGGGCCCCTTCCAGCTCTGACATTCTAAAGTACTAAAAAAATAGTTTTCCTTTTCACTTAAAAAATTGTGGTAAAATATGCAGAACACAAAATTTACCATTTTAACCATTTTTAAGTGCACAGTCAGTGGCATTAGGTACTTTCACATTGTTGTGTAGCCATCACCACCATCCATATGTGGTGTGTACTGACTATGTGAACAGAAGTTTTCCATTTTGAATGTGATTTTCACATGCTGCTTTTCTGGAATACATCTATGGCACAGGGAGTGATGTTGGTACTAGGATACCAGAAAGAAAAGAGGTGGAAGAGACAGCCAACATTTACACACCTGTGTCTCCAAACCAGTGGAAGCGGCCACCAGCAGCTCGGGTGAGCTCTCGGTAGGCAGTGGCTGTGTCGGTGCGGCTGGCATAGCAGGCAGGGGGAGTGGTGTTCATCTGTGGCTCACCCACACAGAAGAGACACACATTCAGCTGGAGGTCGCAGCCCCCACAGGCCTCGGTCATATAGGCAATGAGCATAGGCTGTGGGGGAGAGAGGGTAGAGGGCTCTTGCAGCTGCTGGCTCAGCCTGATCATCTTTCTTGAGGGCCTACTGTGTGCCAGGTCTAGTACTTGGCACTGAGGATAAAAAGACAAATGAGCTGGGTCATGATTTCTTTATCTTTCTAGGGTAAAGCTAGGAAGCTGGACCAGACCGCCTAGCAATACCAAGTGCTGCGACCTGGTTACAACCCAGCAACTTGTTAGAAATGCAGACTCTCAGGCCCTAGGCCAGACCTTTGGAACCAGGATCTGTATTTGAACAACATCCCCACATGCTTCTCCTGCATACTAAAGTCAAGTTTGGAAACATCTGCTAGGCTTCCACCTAGGATAAGTGGTGGAGTTGTGAAGAATGGGGACACCCAGGACAGGAAGTACCAACCATGTCCTGGTCCGGAATACCCCCTGTGAAGAGGTAGATGCCCTGAGACTGCTGTTTGTCTCTGTCCTTGAAGTCCACTTCCACAGCCTTCCGCAGGGCACTGAGGATGTTCCTGCTGCCCCAACACTGCAGGGTCAGGGCCCACCTAGAGGCAAGAAAGGCCATGCTGAAGGGGGTCAGGGGCGAAACCAGGAGCAAAAGGCAGACATTTTCAGATTCATGCCCATGTCTGTCAGAAGGCAGATATTCTATTCCCAGTGGAGAAGGGGACAGGGAAAATAGCACCACCCAGGCTGCCCTCAGACATAGTAAGTGCAGCCTCTGCCCATCACCTACCGCCAAGCGCTTTGTAAATTGTCGTGGCTCATGGAAACCATCTCAGGCCTCCAGCTTTTGATTGAGCTTCCAAACCTTGGAGGGAAGGGAGCTTATTCTTAGGTAGAAGATTACTCCACTCTGTGCCCCAGCTCTTTGGGCTCCCCGGGGTATAAAGAGGTCAAAATCCTAATTACACCCATGATATTTCCTTGCTGGTCATGACCTGTCCCAGTACATTCATGGTGAGGCAGAGCTGGGACTCTCAGTGAGAACACAGACAGGACCAGCTCTGGCCATCTGGACAGACTTCCCTCCTGATGTGTTTTGGTAACTCTTGTTGTCAGTGTGAATTTCCTTATCCCCTAAGAAGGCAGTCCTTTCTCCCTTTTTAATCTCCCATAGGACACTAATTCATGCTTACAACACATTTTCACTCTCTATCTGTACTATAGTTTCTCTTTGTTTAATATGCAGCACCTCATCTTTCCTATGAGACACATTTAAATACTTGAAAAGAAAATGTATCCCTTTCATTAAAGAAGAAGCAACTCCTTTCTGGTTCAAGAGTGATCTCTCCTCCTGGACTCTTGATTCATCATGGCCAATCTCTTCAGAGACCTTGCACATGCCTGGCTCCCACTACAAGGCCTTATGTTCTTTGAGGACTGGTTTTGTGTTTTAACTTCCACATGCCTAATGCCCACCATAGTGACTGGCACACAGCAGGCTTTCCAGAAAGCTGTTCAACAAATGAATGAATAGATGAAAAAATGAATGAAAACATTGTCTAACATGTTTGCACAAGCACTTTTTCTATAGAATGTATTAGGAAGATTAGGCCCTGGTGCAGAATAATATACAACATTAACTGCTGACTTAATAGGTTTAGAACACTCCTTACTAGATGTGAAGTTGTGTAAAAATGTATAGTTTAAGTGAGTTCCTTTTCTCTTTCTCCCCTAATTAGTTAAAATGACATGCAATTAAAAATATGTATAAAATTATGTATATATTGAAATTATATGTAATTGCAGATATTCAAATTATTTATAAATTATATATAATTTTAATATTGATATATGATAGTTACATGCCATTTAAATATATAGTTATATATAATTAAAAACAGTTAAATATGTATAAAATATTTAAATTTAAATTTATATTTTAAATTCAGATATAAAACCATTTACATATAAAATGTGTAATTTATATTATATTTATTAATTTAATTTACATAATTTAATTATATACAGCTACATGTAAAACTAAAATTTAGAATTGAAATACTGAATGCAATGTTGTGTCTTATTGGATCCAAACTAGGAACTAAGTGGAGCATGCCCGGGGGCCCTTCTTTTTCTTTCTTGTGTTTATCAGCTTGGAGGCCAAATGGGGCAATGGGCGGAGTTACTTTATCCTTGTTGATCAAGCAGTGTGTTTTGGGGCTGCTTTTTACCTTCGCCCCAGTGGCACTGTTCTGCAACCATTTAATTATTCAATGCCCCAATCAAGATCACTCAAATCAGATAAACTGATGGCTGTACCAGGAGGGTGGGTGCTCAGAACCTGTCGTCCACTCCCTTCTAGGAGCTTCAGCCCAGTGGCAAAAACATGCACACTGACCTCCCCAACCAGGAACTGGGAGCTTACGCAATGACATTGAAAGCATCCTTGTTGGACAGTTGCTCCTCCAGCAGAAGTCGCAGGGAATGCTGGATATGAATAATGTACATGGAATTGGTCGCAGAGATATCGAGCAGTATAACCACCCTAAACAGAAATACAAGCTTTAAGAGGAGAACCGAATCTCTCAGATAGTGTTCATTTTGTTCCATTTTACTATTTAAAGTGTTTTCCAGGAGAACTTTAAGTGCCAGATTCACAGCTGGCCAAAATCTTCTCCATGGTTTGAGGTCAGCAAATGTGCTGACCTGTGACAGTCTACTGTTTACAACAGTAGACTTAAGGGGTCGCGGAACCTTCTCTCTCAGGAGGTCCTATCATGGAATAAAGTCTCACGGTAGAGACGGTTTAAGGGGCAGAGGCTGCATATAATGATTTGTATACCTTTCCTGGTTTAAAGTGCTAGGATTCAATATTATGATAGGTTGGGGTCTTTGAAGGAAAAACAGAAACAAGGTTAACAAGTTAGATATAGAACTGAGGTGTATATCTGAGCCTCTGGGGAAATGTTTGTATCTTCTTATTTCCTTTTTGTGCTTTAAGATCCCCAGTCCCATTCAGCCTTCTCCTTTTACTATTTCAAATCTTATAGTCCCATCTTGTCCCTCTGTTCTCATTTTGAAACACCTATGGATAGCAAAAGAAAATCCACTGGATTTAGAATCAGAAGACCTTGGTTCAAGTCCTAATTTCTGTGTGGCCTTAGGCAAGTCACAAAACCTCTCTGATCCTTGGTATGTTTACCATAAAGTACCTTATAATACGACTCCTCATAGGGTTGTGTTAAGAGTCAAAGGATATAATAGATGTATAGTATTATAAAGGATACTATTTTGTAAGAGTAACACATCAAAAAAGGTATGGAATGATAATAAAGGTCATAATGGACACCCGTTGTTTCTCCCTACTCAGTGTCCATTACCTCTTCTGGCAATAGTTTCCTGATTTTCATTTGGGAAACAACACCTCTTCTCTGTCAGTCCATTTGTTGTGGGTAGAGCTGACCCTAGCCTAAACTCTGAGAGTGAGCATCTGACCCTCAGCAATGTTCCATCACGCTACCCTGGCCAGGATGAAGAGCTCATGGATGGGCCCATGCCCCAAGCTCTGGGAGTGCTAAAACTGGTAGAAAGTAAGTTGGGAGCTTAAGATAGCTACTTTGCCACCTGGATGGGAAGTCTGCCCAAAAACAAAGTCATAAGAGAAAAAAACAGAGCTGAGAAATGGAGATAGATTCCTGACAAGTATGAACCTCTGGATCAAGCCATGCCTGAAGACAGCTATCAAATCTATTCTGGAATTTTCAGTTACCTTAACCAGACTTCACTGTTTTGTTTCAGCCAATTTTCACTTTGTTTCTGTTGCTTCTCAACTAAAAGAATCCTGAATCACACAATGAATGATGTTATTGATGTTGATGATGAAGGTGATGACTTTTCTCCCAGGAGCTCTGTTGAGTGATTTGCTGATTCTTAGTGTAAGTAAGCAATGGCTTCTAGTGCTACTAATAGGGAATCTATGAGCTGGATAAGTGCTACGTTACACACAAAATCCATGAAGGACAAAAATACTACTTGGGGAAAGGTACCTTTTTTCACAGACGGTGCCCCAGATTCTTCTGCTGGCCAATGAGAGCCATTCAATCCGCCTCTCATACATCCGCATAACTCTGCTGAGCTGTTTCTGCAAACCCATGGGCCAGAGTGAGCAATTGCATAAAGGGTGGCTGATTAAAGGGTCTGTGAGGAAAGGGGTATATCCCAGGTAGCTTCTGGGAATAGTGTGTCAAGGCCATGCGTATCAAGGCAGTATGAACATTCCACTAAATCATGAACAAGTTTGCTGCTGCAAGACCATGAAGAGAAGAGTCAAAGTATTTTATTACCCCTTATGGGGGGAGGAGGTAGATCTTGTCCCAAAGGATTAGAACCTTTTTTTTTTTTTTGCTTTTGTTAGATGTATCCAGATCTCTACCTGGGGATGGGGTAGAGAAAGCTCCAGAGGTGCCTGTTGCAGGAGCACAGTCTCTGTTTACAAGAGAATTCAGTCAATGGCTTGGCATCTCCACATTACTTGGTGCCTTTCTCCCATTCCCCTTTCCCACATCCCATATACTGACTGATTGGACCCATCGCTGACCTGGTACTCATAGAGGAAGGGCAGATCCACATGAACATTCTTCACTGTCCCATCATGCCATTGAAATTGTACCATTGCCTTCTGCACTCAGGTGTGGCCAGGAGGGGGTACACACAGTGAGAAAGAATTTTAAGTTTAATTTGGGTACTGGGACTCTGACCACATGTGGGGTCAGATTATGCTCCCCACCCGCACCCCACAGGTCACTGCCTTGTCTGGAGCTGGAAAAGAGAACCATCAGGACAGTGGCCCTTGAATGAACATGCTGACAGCAGGCAGGCTGCCATCTCGGGAGGCTCTTCTGAACACTGGAGTCCTGATTACAGAATATGGCTGGAAGTTTAGGTAATAACAGTGAGAGATTTTAAAAATACACTGGCCATGGGTTCTTAGGGTTGGAAACTCAGGCCTTTACGGACACTATGAAAATAAAATTTGTGGATTTCTGACAAGATGGAGGCATAGGTGGAAACATTGTACCTTCTCACACAACCAAGTTTAAAAACAACAAAGTTTTAGCAACAAAAACGCAGTCAAACCACAGAAAACTGACCTATACCAAAGTCTGACAACAATGAACCTTTCAGCCAGACTGGTAAGAAGGGCGAAGCCAGCAGCAGAGCTGGGTTAGACAGGAAAGATCCACTGGACCAACCCAGGCACGTGACCAAGGTGCACAGGCAGCCGAGGGCAGATCCCAGGTGTGGTGTAGCAACGCGTGGACCCACTGAGGGTGCATGGCAGCAGGCTGACCGTGATCACACATTCTCGCACAGATAAACCAGCAAAGGAGTATGCAGGCCCTAGTGGTGGGAAGCAGCAGAGAGGACCGCCATTGCTCCCCTTTGACCCTGCCCCCACATACAGCATCACAATCCAGCGACCTGGGTGGCCCCACCCTGTTGAACACCTAAGGCTCTGCTCCTCGTATGTAACAGGCAAGAACAGACCAAGACATTATGGCTCAAGAACAGCTCAAAGCTCCAGGGCCCATAACTCTAAGCAATGAAGAAATAGCCAAACTTTCAGATGCACAGTTCAAAACACTGGTGATCAGGATGCTCACAGAACTGGTTGATTTTAGTCACAAATTAGAGGAACATATGAAGGGTAAACTAATTGAAATGAAGGGAAATACATAGGAAACCAATAGTGATGGAAAGGAAACTGGCACTCAAATCAAGGGAGTGGACCAGAAGGAAGAAAAAAATGACCAAACAAAAATATGAAGAAACAAGAATTCAAAAAAATGAGGAGAGGCTTTAAACATTCAAAAAATGTTTAAAAATCCAGGACATTTTTAAACATTCCAACATCTGAATTATAGGGGTACCAGAAGGGGAAGAGGAACAGCCACAAGTGGAAAACTTATTTGAACAAATACTAAAGGAGAACTTCCCCAATCTGGTAAAGGAAATAGACTTCCAGGAAATACAGGAAGCTCAGAGAGTCCCAAAGAACTTGGACCCAAGAAGAAACATACCAAGGCACATCATAATTACATTAGCCAAGATTAAAATGAAGGAGAGAATCCTAGAAGCAGCAAGAGCTAAGGGGATAGTTACCTACAAAGGAGTCCCCATCAGACTGTCAGCTGATTTCTCAAAAGAGACCTTACAGGCAAGAAGGGGCTGGAAAGAAGTATTCCAAGTCATGAAAACCAAAGATCTACAACCAAGATTGCTCTATTCAGCAAAGCTTTCATTTAGAATGGAAGGACAGATAAAGTGCTTCTCAGATAAGGTCAAATTCAAGGAGTTCATCATCACCAAGCCCTTATTATATGAAATGTTAAAGGGACTTATCTAAGAAAAAGAAGATAAAAATATGAACAGTGAAAGGACAGCAAACTCACAGTTATTAAGAACCACACCTAAAACAAAAGCAAACTAAGAGGACAGCTAGATCAGGAGCAGAACCATAGAAATGAAGATCACCTGGAGGGTTAGCAACAGGGGAGTGGGAGAAGGAGAAGGGGGGAGAAGGTACAGAAAATAAGTAGCATCGATGGTAGGTAGAAAATAGATAGGGGGGAGGGCAAGAATAGTAGGGGAAATAAAATCATCTAAAGAACTTGAGACACGTGGTCATAAACTAAAGGGGGGGAATGGTGGGGGCGGGGCTGTGCAGGGTGGAGGGGAATGAAGGGGGGAAATAGAACTGTAATGGCATAATCAATAAAATATATTTAAAAAATCAAATTTGTTCATCATATTCTTTCATCCTCCACCAAGTGTCATACATATCTTGAAGTATCACTTCATCCACCTAGTCATTCGTCCATCCCCTACTTTGAATTGTCCATCACTCTTCCCTTTCATTGTTCCATCTTTATATTTATCTTTCCACTCATCTTTCCATTCATCATTCCTTCCATTTCTCTGCCTTTCCACCCTTACTTTAATTTTTACTTCATTCTTTTATCTTTTTATTCTATCTTATCATTCATCCTTTCATTTTTCCTTTCCATCTGTGCACATTTCCACACACACACATACATACATACATCTGCTTACATTTCCATGTATTCACCAACATTTTCATCCATCTAACCATTCATTCATTCTTTGTTTTCTTCTTTCCAACTACTCAGTCATCCAGTAAACAGTCATTGACTGCCTTACTTGTACTACATATTGGGGATAGAGAGTTTTTTCTTTTAAAAGAGCTCACACTCTGGTAAGATTTAGATATGTAACAAATACACATATTAACATAGTGTAGGAGCTAAAGTAGAAGTCTGTTCAAGTAGAAGTCTGAGTGAGGTGTTCTGAGTGGGAGAGAGGAAAACCTTTACACTGGAGATAATTGTAGTACCCAATTTACTCCCTCGCCCATCTCCCAAGTTTTATTTTCAGATGGGTGGAAAGTCTGCCCATGATCCTCAGACTCTGCCTTATGATTCTATTTTCAAAACTCTTAAGAAGGGAAATGTCACAAAGAAGCTCCCCTGCAGAGGATGGAGAGAACTCTGGATCTGAGTCACCTCATGGATAGTCGATGATACCATTTTCTGGAGAATAGGCACAAATTCCTCAATGGGAGAGAATGTGTTGGGTGCCAGAACCTGATAAAGGCTTAGCTTCTTGGCTGTAAAAAGAAATGGTGGAGTTTAAGGTATGACTCATGAAGACCCAGAGGGTTAATGGCTTTTAGTCAGTGACCTGAGTTCTGGGCACTGCCCTCTTTGGGGACTTACCTTTTAGGCCATTGTCCATTAGCCATTCTGCAGAAGTCTTGTCCAAGTTTGGGAACTCAATTCTGAGGGGAGCTTCATGCTTTGGGGGTTTAGGTAAGAGACCTCTGAGGGAACCCTGTGCAATTTTTGTGGAAATCTAAATTAAAATAAAAAATCCTCTTTATGAAACCATAATTTAGAGTTGCAAAGTCCTCAGTCTCCCCCACCAACCCAGTTCACCCAAGGGGAGAATCTTAAAATATTAGCTGGTAAATTAAAGGCAGTGTGCCTCCTTGTTTCACCAGCCCCATCCCCTTTTCTGGAATTTCCAGGGAAAGAGGAAGATGTTTCCAGAAACTCTCTTTATTTACTCATCCTCCTGGCCCCCTCCCCACCTTTAGCATTAATATCAGTACCTTGGTCTCCTGATGACAGGTGGCCCCTCAGTGGACTCAAAACACAAGGCTTCAGGGAATGAAAAAGTAACTCTACACTAAAATCATGTAGGGAGCTCTCATCTAGCCCAGCCTCCCTTGTCCACATTTATAAACTGAAAACCTGGGATTCTGAGAGGTTAAATCACACACAGCTCATATAGGAGTAAAACACAGAACAGCAATTCCCAAACTTTGGACAGCTGAACATTGTTTTCATGAATTTTGCTGTATCTGAATACCATTGTACTGTTATGTACTCAGTTTATTTTTAAATCAATTATATGACACTAAAGCTTTTTAATATTTAACTTGATTTACTTAAAAAAATAGACTCCTTTTTGTAATAAATAATTTTAGAAAGATCTATTACTATCATAATGAGCTAGTTTTAAATATATAACATTAAAAATATTAATGTATCCTGGCTGGTGTGGCTCAGTGGATTGAGCGCTGCCCTGCAAGCCAGAAGGTTGCTGGTGTGATTCCTAGTCAGGACATATGCATGGGTTGTGGGCCAGGTCTGCAGTTGGGGGCATGCAAGAGGCAACCAGTTGATATATCTCCTGCACATCAATGTTACTCTCTCTCTCTTTCCCATCTTTTTAAAAATAAATAAATAAAATCTTTAAAAAATATTAATCCATACAACCTTACAATCTTGCAAACCACATGTGGCACATGCATTTCATTTGGGGAAACTCTTAACAATGGTTTGGACATCTGACAGACCTGAGTTCAATTACACTCAATCATTTTTCATCTCAGTGATCCGAAGCACATTATTTAACCTCTTAACTTCAGTTTGCTAATCTGTAACATAGTGAGGGGTAATAATCTACCTATAGCAGACTGTTGTTACAAAGATAAAATAAGGCATTTAGAGAATTAAGCACTGTGCCCATTTCATATTGAGTGCTCAGCAAATGAGAACTATTACAATTATAATACTAATGTCATGGTGATTATGTATAATCAGTAGAAGAGCTAGACCTAAAGTTCAAGATCCCAGTGTAGGTGCTATGTTTCTTTCACTCTAACCAACCAGTATAAATACACCCCAGTGCTCTTCTGTCCACAGCTGAGTTTGCTGTGCCCTTCTAAACAGTGTAGAGCTTTTATGGTGCTTGTGCTGTTGTGCTCAAGTTAAATCTGTCCAAGAGCAGAGACTTTGCCCCTGAATGAAGGTCTGGGGTAAAAGCCATCTTCTAGACAGTCTATACTGTGTGGTTGAAGTTTTCATTAGGGGAAGGTGGTAGAGGTGGCAGGAGCCTGCTTACCTGTCCCTGAAATATAGTTTTTAATTAGAAGACCCACCAGGACCTTTTCTGGCACAGTGGAAGGCCCACCTGACCCATCAGCTCAGAGCTCCAGGGCTTTGCCTTGTTTCACTTTTAGGATATGGTGGGACAACAGACAGTTGAAGAAGGAAAATGAAGTGAGACCTGCTGACTGCCTCAGAGAGAAGGTCCCAGAATCTTCACTTACCCTTACCTCTTTCATGATGCCTGTCAGCTCCTCACTGGGGGCACTGTAGCACATAGCTTGGATGTGGCCCAGTAGGCTCTGGGCCTTCTGGATTTCCATCAGTAGCTGGTCAGTGTCTGAGCTGGTGCAGATCTAGGGGTGGTAAGAGCAAGAGGCCATCCAGAAGTCACTTAGCTACCAGTAGTAGCCAAGGCAAGAGGGCAAGGAGGGATGTCAGTTCCTAGAGCTAACTGTTTAAACTTGACATTATAAACTGGGGTCCATGTATATGGGACAGAACTTGCAAATGCATTGTGTTCCACTTGTACAGCCCTGGCCTGCAGTGTTAACCAACTGAAGGGTTGTCTAACCTTAAAAATGTGAAGAAGTACTTTATACCCTTTAGTAGGCTGCGATAATAATTTTACAAGGACTATAACACTGCTGGTGGGAATGTAAAAGGGTACACTTTTGTGGAAAACAGTTAGGTGGCGCCTCAGAAACTTAAACAGAATGACTCTATGACCAAGCATTGAGACTTCTAGGTATGTACCCCAAAACTTGAAAGCAGGGACTCAGACATTTGTACACCAGTAGTCACAGCAGTTCACAATCACCAAAAGGTAGAAATAACCCAAATGTCCAGAGACTGATGACTGGATAAACCAAATGTTAGAATATCCATAAAATAGAATGTTATCACCATAAAACAGAATGAACTACTAATACCTGCTATAATATAGATGAACCTTGAAAACATTATGCTAACTGAAAGAAGTCAGACTCAAAAGGTGAAATGAAATATCCAAACTAAGTAAATCCACAGAGACAGGAAGCAGATCAGTGGATGCCAGGAACTATGGGTAGCGGCAGTGGGGAGTGATGCTTAATGATATGGGATTTCCTTTTGGAGAGATGAAAATGTTTTGAAAGTAGATAGAGGTTGTGGTTGCATGATACTGTGATAGCATAAATACCACTAATTTTACACTTTCGAGTGGTTAACTTTATGTTAGATAAATGTCACCTCATTAAAAAATGTAAAGAAATCAGACACTTAAAATAATCCAGATTTCTGGTTCTTCTTGAAAACTTGAGAATCTGGCAACATTGGGGTCACACTGATACAGAGGTGACTGGCAGGGGCTGAGCAGGGGCACCTGTTCAGGTGGGGCTGGTGCTACCTAGCCACCACAGTCCTCACCACTCTCTGTTTCCTCCCAGCAGAGACAGTTGTCACCCCTGCACTGTTGTTTTGCTCATATTAAAGAAGACAATAAAATTTATTGTACCCATATTTCCATCTATATTGGAAAAACAACACATAAGAGGGCCACTAGTTTTAAGATAAAAATGTTTCTTAAAACAGCCAGTTTTATTTATTTACTGGACCTTTCTAGCCCCTGTGGTCTGTGACCCCTTGCAAACAGAATCTAGGCAATGAGGTAATAGAGGGGGTGTTGCTGGGAAAGGCATTTGCTAACTCAGGCTCCTGTGAAATGCTACACTTTGTAACACCTAAACATACTCGTGAGATGCAGTTGTTCATTTACTTACGGCTATTAACAGTTAGCAGGCAAGACACAACCTGTTAGCTGAAAGGATGGTTGGATTCTCAATCTGCCAAATGGATTTACACACACATTTGCTAACTGTTCCCTCCATGGTGGACACATGGTATGTGATGTCATTATTAACTGGGACAAGGACACTAATGGATGGATTTGTATAGACTCTGTTACTCATTCAGAATTGACTGCTGTGGGTCCCCTGCAAGACCAGAGGTCTACCTAGAAGAAGGAACTGAGGCAGCCAATTCAGACTCAGAGCTTTGATGGGATCAGAGGTGAGGTGGAGCCCATGTTGATGGTAACTGGATAGATTCAGGATTCTACCCACCAGGCTTTAAAAAGCCTCTAGCCTCGCAGAGGCTCATCATACATGTTGACCAAAGAATCTCTTGTCACTTCATGTCCTGCTGTAGACTGCTCTGCCTAGTTTTAGGAATTGTATCTCTACCCCTTGTGGCTAAGGGCGAGAGATGACCTTTGGAATGCCAGCCACAGGAGACAAAGCCTGTCTCAGGTAGCAAACGCAGCCTCAGTTCCTCTCCCTGCCCCCAGAGCTTGGTTAGAAGTCAATGACGGGTAAGACCCCTCATAGCAGGGGGCAACCTAAGATAGACTCGATCACTTGGGAGATCATAATGGAAGGACTTGGGGGGCTGCAACAAAGAGCAATGGACTCTTGCCCCCCGGCTTTGTCAAAGCCCGAGTCCCCATGTTCTCTGGGAGAAGCACTTCCTGGCTCTAATCCCCTTAAGCCTGAATACCTGTTGGGGAGAGATGCAGCTCGTTGCTTTGCTAGAGTGTGTCCTGCGGGAAAATCTGGCATCACAAAGACTTGCTGATAAACCTGTGAAATCTGCTCTGCTAAGACTGCTTTCATTCATATGATAAGGGTCCGAGAAGAAATGAGTATGTCTCTCAAAGTTTCTGCAACTCTCTTCCTGACAGACACTGACTCAGACTCTGAAGCCCTCAGATCTCTTTGAAATGTTATCTACTGTTTGATCCTTGCCGCCCTGTATTCCTGTGTATTACAACCCAATAAAAGGCTATGGAAGAGGGCACTCGGGGCCTTTTTCTCCTCGGAGAAACTGGCCGCTGCTGGCTTTTGTCTCCCCTGAGAAACTGGCCACAGCCCACTCCTTCCACTCCAAACCAGATCCAGCATCTCTCTGCCATATTTATTCACTCACGCATGTCCGTGGCACTGGGGGGACTCACAGAGAAGTTGCCCCTGCAATGTCCCAGTTCTTCCCACATATTTGCTTTAATCTTATTATACTTTTGTAAGCCCACTGAGCTTGGGGGAGGGAGGGGAAGCAAGCATACAGCATGGTTTGTCCTGATCCAGGTCCCTAGACACAGTGGGGCAGGCAGGGAGGAGAGCAGGGGCAGTGAGCGTACCTCCGTCCCTGGCGTGTAGCAGTGATAGTGGCCCCCAACAGCTTCTGCAAAGTTCTTCAGGACAGCCTGTGGGATGGCAGCAGGGTCAGTTCTCACTAGGACAATGCCAATGCTACAAAACACTTTCTCCTTGACCGAACCTCCCAACTCTCCTGACTTCCCATCTTACCAGATGGAGATCTAGGTACAAGAGAGTACTGCTCTGGTCCACAGCTTGGGGCCTGTCTACATATAGAGCCTCACAGGCTGGCACCGCCCACTATGACCAATCCAAGGGAACACTTGGAAAATCTCAGGTACTTACAGGGGGCATCTGATCATTGCATTTGTAGGTAACAATGTGGGTGTGGAGGTCCCTGCCCATGGTAGACTGTTGGATATAGTCAGACAGGATTTCAGCAGGCTGATCTGGGCTGAGGAAAAGACGGAACAAGAGAAGGGAGCACCCCAGCATGAGGACATACCAGAATGATACCAAATGATACCAAAATGATAATTTCTAGGGAACATCTAGAGTCTAACCTACCACTTGTGTGCCAGGTCACTTGTATAAGATGCAGGGCAGAATAAAAGCACAGGCCTGGCCTGCTCTGGTAGCCCTGTGCACAGATGACCCATGAACACAATCCTTCCATCAAGCATGTGTCAGGAGCCATGCTTGATGATCTTTCTTCAAACAATGGCTTGGCTCTCTGGCCCCCTTCATGTACTCTGTTGTCTGCTTAGGAAAGGAGACCTACCAGCGCCCTAATATGGTCACCAGGGAATCCAGCCCCTTCAGAGCAAAGGTTTTCTTCAGGGCTTGCAGTAGATTGCTGCCTCCATCGGGCTGCAGGTGCTTTACCCAGAGCTTGAATTCCTCTAGGCTGGGGAGACAAGAGTGGAGACAAAAGCAGCCTAATCACAGCATTCTCCAGGGCTCCAGGCCCAGGACGCACTGAGCTCATTTCATCCTAATGATACCTCTTCAAGGTGGACATGTTTATTCCCATTTTACAGATGAGAAGACTGAGGTTCAGATTTAGGAATTGCCAAAATGATACTGTTAGCAACTGGCAACAGTGAGGATTCAAACCAGGTCTGACTCTAGGACCTGAGCTTTGTAGAGGACTGGTTTGTCTTGACCTGGCAAATGTGACTCAGCTCTGTATGGAAAACCTACAGAACCAATGTGGTGGGCAGGAGCCAGACCCTCAAACTGGGTTTTCCCATGGGAATCAGGCCTAGAAAATGCATACAGACTGTTATGGCTTGACCTTGCTAAAACTGCCTCAGCCTGGTCTGAAACAGTAAATGTTTAATGTCTAGCTTCAAGGTAATTTCCAAAGCCTGTGTAAATTTTCCCAAGGACAGAGCTAATCAGCTCGCTGCCTTTCCCTTCTGCATTTGTTATTTTCATTTCCTTGACTGTACCTAAAATGTGGACAATGATATTCTACACAATAGATAATAAATCCTTCTTTGATGTAAGACCTGAGAAAAAACAATAAAAGCTTGTGTAGGCAAGGGTTGGGGCACTCTCCCCTTGAGAGAGTGGCCATGCTGTCCCCTTTTTCCCCACAGGATTGCTGTAGCCTGTGCATTTGTTCTCATCTTCAGTCACAACAAGTGGACTCTGCTGGCCAGAGTCTGCCACAGAGCTTCTAGTGACTGCTGTCAGGTGGTCCTGGGTTAAGACCCTTCTTCCACCTACCCTTAACCCCCTAACTCTGCTGGGAGGCAGACTTCAGCCTGAAGCATGGAATCAATGCTCTAACACTCAGAGGGGTCTAAGAGAAGGCTGTGGCTGTGTGACCATATCTCATGTGGATTGGAGTACATACTTCTGATAACAGGGAAAATAACATGGTTCTGTCTTGGTTAAATATTGAATACCTCACATGGTACTGCTGAGAGAGTTCTGCTCTTTCCATTTCTTTGTCAGTCTGACCAGAAAAACCCTCCAAATTTCAGCTTGTTGCTAGAAGTCTGTCTCTCATTATTATAACTATTGAGTCTCCCTTTTAAACAGAGAAAGAAAAAACTCAGGCCTAGAGCCTTCTCAAGTCAATAGGTTTCAAGCTGGAATTTAATATCATCATTTTGTTTGCTATCCTTGTATTTATTTTTTTGACTACTTTCTAATTATGGCAAGGATTCTGGGCTTCTCAGTTACGGTACTAATAGAGAGTTGCCTTCAATAATAAATAGAGTTGGTATAAAGAAAATCGGTAACAGTGCAAGTGGTACAGAGTAAATAATAGTACACAAGGCAGAGATATGATGAAAATCACTTAAGTCCAGGAATGACTGGAGTTGAGAAACTCCTGGCTAGATGATCTCAAGGTCATTCTGGGTTGGACAATTGAGATCAGGAGTCTAACTAAAGTGGAAATCAAAGTAAAAAAAAAAAATGCTCTCATTCACTGAGTATCTGCCATATGCCAGTTACTTATTTTTCATTTCATCCGGACAACAGCTCAGTGAGGAGCAGGTATCCTCAGCCTCATTCTGCTCATGAGAGAGGTGAAGGACTGGTCAACATCACCCAGTAACTGCCAGAGCTGGGATTCAAAGCCAGCACTGCTGGAACTGAGCACTTCTCTACCTGGGCAGGTTCCTCTTTATAGCCAGTGCTGGGCAAGGGGATCTCCATCCCAGAAACCTAAGCTTGTGGATTTTCCAGGACTCTACTCTAGAACCTAATCCTGGCTCTGCCACTTTGGGCATGTTCCCTAACCTGAGACCAGTTTCCTCATTTACAAAATGGGGATAATAATCCTATTCCATGTGTTGGCTATAAATATTAAATAAGATAGTACATGCTAAGTGGCTACTGTAGTACTTAACACATGGTAGGTGATCAAAGATACTCCCTTCATGGTGTAAGTAAAAACTCTTATATACCTTCCCTCTCTTTGCTCCCCTAAACTAGAAACTCTCAAATAAAGGACTAGCTAAATTGTACTATATAGTGGAATACTACACCGCCATTAAAAAGAATGAGGAGTTCCTATACGCACAAAGAGTGATATCCAAGGTTAGGTGCAAAGCTAGTTGCAGGCCAGTGAGACATGCTCCTGCTTATGTTTATTTTTAAAAAATTTTTAGACGTTTTATTTTATTCATTTTAGAGAGACTGGAGGGAGGGAGGGAGAGAGGAAGAGAAGCATTTATGTGCAAGAGATGCATGGATTGGTTGCTGCTCACATGTCCCCAACTGTGGACCTGGCCCACAATCCAGGCATGTGCCCCAACCAGTAATCAAACTGGCAAACTTTTGGTTCGCAGGCCAGCACTCAATCCACTGAGCCTCACCAGCCAGGGCTCCAGTTTATGTTTAAATAATAGAGGATGGCTCTTTTATTTAAAAAAAAAAAAAAAAAAGGATGAACACACAGGTGCATGTGTGACAGACTGTCTGTGGAAGTAAACAGAAGAAACTGTTACTGGGAGGAGAGAGGAGGACTTGGGTGAGGGAGACTTATTTGCTATTATTTACCCTCTCATACTGTTTGAGTTTTTGAACATGAACCTGTATTATTTTCACAATAATAAAACTACCTGCTAGTTTGCAGGATAAAAATGGTATTTTGTGGTTGCTTTGTCTTTTCATTTGAAAGATTACTTGTGAGGGTAACTCTTTTTCCAAAAGTTACTAGCTACTGGTGTTTCTGCTTTTGTGAATGAATTGTCCCTTTGCATTTACTTATCCGATGGGGTCTTGGGTTTGCACTTCGATCATGCAATAAAGATAGTAACACTTGGAAAGGAAAATGACCACATAAACATCCTGGGAAGGGCTGGATGGCTACTCACATGGAGGTGCCAACGTCCATGGGGTCTGGCCAAAGGGCTCTGGTGGTGGTGCCAAAGGACAGGACGTACAGCTTCTCCTTGTGACTCAGTTGCTCATCAATGAGGCTCTGGTGGACGGAAGGGTCAGGTAGGGAGTTAGTTATTAACAAAGGAGACAAGGGCCAGACATCTGCTTTGGAAAGATTAAATCAGGAAACAGCAGTTTCCCAGTCACCCCAGGGAGTAATGGTATCATTTGGACAACATCCCACCTAATCAACGAGGCAGGAAAGACAGCCTTACAGCCTCCCCAGGGATAATGGGCATCATTCCTCTGGACTAACAGGGAAGAAAATGGTGAGGGGGAATTCCTTTTACTGAGGCTGTGCAGTAGAAGCCAGATGAGAAAGCAGAACTTGGAGGCCTGTGCAGTAGGAGCCAAAATGGCCACCATAAAGGGGCACAGCCTAACCTGGGAAAGTCTGGGAAGAGAATCATATTGGAGGAGGGCATGGAACCAGAAGGTACAGGAAAGTGACTGGATAGTGGAAGATTGGATAGCACAGGCCAAAAAATCCAGGAGAGACCAGGTAGTTTGAAATAAAGGCTGCTCTCAAGCCCAAGAAGATACAGGGAAGACAAAGAACCCAGCTTGTGCCCTTGGGTCTACTCAAGTATCCTTTTTGAGAATACTTTTGCCTTCTTTTTTCCTAAACTCTAAGGGCCCATAGGAGACTTGCAAACAGGGGAGCAGCTGGTGGCGGCAGAGGGCTCTCCTTTTGACTCACTTTGTTTTCATGAGTCCACGCAGCTGCTACGACGATAACCTGCTTGCTCCCTAGCTCTCGAAGAATACACTGTTAATTTCTTGCTTTAATAAATCTTGCCTCTCACACACTGCCTCCTAAGCAAGTGTCCCCCATTTTTCTTTTCCCCGTGATACTACAGAAGAGCCCATTTCCAGACTGTGCAAGGACTATCTGCCTAGGCCCTGGTGTTTCCAGTAATAGGTCACCACTGGCTACCAGAACAAGGGGCCATGTGGAGCCTAGCTTTACCTCCCATGGTGTGGCTGGTCACCAGGGCTAGGGTATGAACAGTGTTATAGTAGGGTCACTTGAGGTTCAGTTTAGTGGCCTCATGCTGACCTTTGCTTCCCACCCACTGGGGATATGGATGAAAGCTAAAGCTGCCTATCCCAGACTGTCCCATGGTCCTATATGGTGGAGGTAGGACATGGGCCTTCAGCTTGTGGATTAATTGTGTGCCCTACTCCCCACCCCACAACTGCAGACTGCCATTCTCTTCCAGAGCAGCCCCCTAGGGTTGCTGTACACCAGGGTCAGAAATGTGGGTGGAATGTGTGTCTTGGCTTCCCATCTCAAATGTGTGCTATGGTTGGTTGAACTCTTCTTAGCTGTGACACCCAGGAGGGATAACAGAGGAAGGGGGCAGTAGTTTCTCTCCAAGGTATGTGAGTCGGGGATGGAGCAATGAGCACAACACCAGCCTGTTTGATTGATGTTTTTAAGTTGTAGTGGATGAATATACAACAGAGGAGTTTTGAGACATAGTCAAGTTAGTAGGGACTGCTGTGAAGAGAATACTAGAAGCTCACACTCCAAGGGAAAATGACTCTGAGGTTTGGTTTCTGTAACTGTAGATGCTAATTAACTGTGAACTGATCTTTGTAAAATATATCATTTTGGATTTGCTGTAAACAAAGCCAGCTAGGCAGGCACAAATGGGAGGGAGGGGTGGTGGGAGTAGTTCCATGTCCTTCTCTGTGCCCCAAGACTTACCATGAGGTCATTTTGAAATTCTTCTTTCCTAGGGCTACTGCTGATGGCTGACACATCAATGAGAACACCAACTCTGGCCCCCTTGATGAGGCCAAATGCCTAAAATCAAAAAGGGCACCCAGAAATAACCAGCACAACTGTGTTGCTCTGAAGACTTTCACTGAGCAGCTCTGCAATGGGAACTTCTAACCCTCCTAGACCTCAACAAGCAGCAGCCAAGGAAGGACCATTTTACAGAGGAAGAAGCAAAACCTAGGTCTAGGCGGCTGCTCCTGTTTTGTGGCAACATATTCTTTAAGTTGTTGTCATTGATATTTACTGTCTACTCTTATGAGGTAATACATGTTCACTGTAGAAAATTTGGAGCCTGTAGAAAAGCACCCTTTGTAAGAAATAAAATCTGATATGTCACTACTGTAGATGAAAAAATGGCCACATCCTAAATCTAACAAGCTCAGGGGAGGCCTGCATGGTAGGACTTACAAACTCAAAGGCCAAAGTAACCACGTGGGATAGACTGAAATTAAAACATTCTAACTAAAGGCAGTTAATAGCTGGTAATCATGTCCTAGTCTAATGGGGTGCAAAGTGAGGGGTGCCAGAAAATAGGAGAAAAAACCCACAGACCTCAATCAGGGGATGGGGGAAGTGGATGATATGGCTTAAGATACACTACATAGCAAAAAGGCAAGCTAATAGTTGTGCTACTGCCTGGGGTGAAATGTGTCTAGTGACCCTGAGAGCATTCAGGAACTTGTAACATAGCCAGGGGAGGTGAATGCCCTCCCCAGAAGCCCCTGTGTCACAAGAACTCTTGACCTGACTAAAGATGGCAGCTGAGAGAATGTAAATATGGGGAGACTGGCAAATGTAGCTCATTGTGGGAGGAGCTAGATAGGAGGTCATGTAGGAAGCTCTGGGTCAGAAATTAAACTAAGGACAAGCAGAGAGAGGGAGACTGGTTGGCCATGAGGGCTGAGAGAGTAGGTAGCAGCTGTGCCAATCTATAGTGAAGAGGGCAGCTATGTGTGAGAGGTTCAGCCATGGTGCCTATAGTGAGGGAGGAACTATGTCTATTCCTCTAAGGATTCAGTCATGCAGCCTAGGCTAGTAAGAAAGGGGGGTAGTTATGAAGAAGGAGCCATAAGCCAGAAGGGATTTGGCAACAGCAGCAAAGAGAAAGAGAATGGCAGGCTGCTGCTCTGATTGTGCCCACTCTAGCTGACTCCAAAGCCACTAAGGACTCTGCCTTGCAGGATGCTGACCGGGTGCCTCAGACCTGGACTGTCTGTACTCTTGGGACTCTGGATGTACAGAGAAGTCACTTCCTTGGGACTTGCACCTTTCCTGGACTTCACCATGATCCAGTGCAACATGGCACATGTTTTCCTGGACTATTACATAGAGGCTGAGGACAACATACCCCAGATCCTGAAGGAGAGAGCTGCTGTGAGAGGATAGTGACTGAAACCCATGAGTGTACCTTCTAGAGGGGATGGAGACCTGTTTGTACAGCTGGCTTGAGAACAGATAAGAATATGGGGAACTACTGGGCTTGGTTTTAACTTTTACCCTAGTGGGAAGCAAGGCAAGTGCTGGGTCTCATGGGAGAACAGGGCTCTGAGCAGAAGTGCTCTCAGCCCCACCAAGGTTCTACCCTTATAAATAAAAACCTGTTTCCTCCAACATTGATTGTTGGGTCATGCATCAAGGTGTCACAAGCACAAGCCCCACTTTGTTCAGTTACACTAGGGCAGGATTTTTCTCTAACGAAGGTCACTCTTCACATTAAATGAGCCTGTCCTCTTTTCTTTCTTTTGGCATCTATGATAACATACCTGATAATATACCTTTGGAATATCAAAGTAATTTCCTTTTGTCCAGACCCCTCAAAGCACAACCACCAAACCAGAGCAGAGACCACACATCCTCTCACTGTTACTATTATCATGCTAATTGTTGACTGTTACCTATCCTATAACCCACCAATGTAAAAGTACAAGGGGGGACTCCCAAAAACCCCAGAATTATCTTCTGGAGGTGGGCCCCCTTGTAGTACAGGCTTCCCCTGCTACGTGAGTATTCTACGAACCCATCCGTATCACTGTACCAGCTGGCACTATTGTGAGAGGTGTGCTCAATTTCAGTGAATTTTTTCTGAAGACTCTTTCAGTGTGTTTGCCCATTTCATGATGGGTGATTTAAGAGCACACCTGCCCACACTGCACTGAGTGTTCAGCAATTTTGGGCCCAGAAACAGCATGGCTCCGTGCGCCATACTCCCTGTTCACCTGATCTCAACCCAAGTGACTTTCTTTTGTTTCCCCAGATGAAATAAAGTCCTCAAAGGGAAACATTTTGCCAATGTGAAAGAGGTGAAATAAAAAAAGCAGTTTCACTAAAAGGCATCAAAATCAATAAATTCAAAAACTGTTGGAGCAGTGGGAAAAAATGCCTTGATAGGTGTATTACATCAAATGGAGAGTACTTTTTAGGTGACTGAAGTTTACACATGTAAGAATAAATACACACTTTTTTACAAATAAATTCCAGGGTTTTGGGGGGGGGGAACCTCCTTTGTATGGGTCTATTCCTTTTACTTTTTATTTAACCCGAGATTTGCCCACTTTGCTTTCTTCCATCTCCCCAATCTACCACCAATGAATTTCCTGTAATTCCCTTATACCTCCTCCTTTGATTGTAATGTATAAAATAAGGTGCAAAACTGACATTCTCTGGAGAATTTTTTCAATCCATTGAGCTTTTGCTTCCCAGCAGCTGCCATCAGTTTGGCTCAAAGAAACTCATAAATATTCTTACATTAACATTTACTTGGCATAGTGTGGCAGGATTCCAAAGAAGCCCACCCAGGACCACCTTGTAGACCCTGACCTGTGCTTGGTACCAGAAGGGGCCCATTTTGCCTCACCAGCTCTTTGTTTTACATTGGGTAAATGGGTGAATTTCCGTTGGGATTCTGGATCTCACTGTTTTAAGATAAGAGGCCCTGATTTTATTTGAGCCAATTTTTTAAATCCTCAAGGTTAAGGGTTGAGAGAACCCAGGCTAAGGTGGAACAGTAGGAAAAGTGGGTGGCTGGGTTTTAGCTTCAACTTTTCAATTGAAATTGCATTCTGAGAGTCTGAACAAAAAAACCCTTTGCTGGATAAATGGGAGCCTGAACTCATTGGGCTCCAAAGATAAGGTGCACTTCCTTCAGCCTGAATCTCATGGTATTCTTAAGGGACTATGATTCTTTGTGGAAGTGTCAAAAGCCATCCCTTACGATATACAGGAAGGAGCCCCATAGAGAATTCCAATTCTACTATAATTAAACAACTGACTCATCTGGGGACACACACATAAAGGTTGGGTACTTAGTGCTCTGAGTCCTCACAGTTGTATTAGGCAACAGGGGGAGAGAAACCAAGACACATGAGGGTTGACTGTAACCCAGGAAGGGGGTAACAGTCCCTTGGAATTCAATCCATAAGCAGCGTATTTCAACTCACCACAAAATATCCCTAGAAATTTGTTCAGACTCTGAAGATAATTTTTAAAAAAACTAAAATTAACATGGGAAATTGTGCCTCCAGGGCCAGAAACTCCCAGCCCCCATCAATACTCATGCAGATACATAATAAATAGGAAGCTTATACTTGCATGTACTTTACAGAAATGGGAAGATTTAACTAGATATGATATAGACTTAAGATGGCCAAAATTCAGTTTTCTTTGGGTGCCTAAGTTAATTTTTGCATGCAAACTTAGAAAAATGCTGGCTCTAAAATTAAACTGAATGAATGGGAAGCACATCTTGACTGGAAATTAGAAACTTCTAAGAGGAGCACAGATAATTTTTTTTAATGTGAAATTTTTTTAAATGTGAATAAGAAATTTTACAAACTTTCTTTGAACTAAAGAAGGCTTCTGAGGTTAACAAATGCCAACACCCATTCCTCTCCTTGACTGTCTAATACAGCCATGAGCTCCTCCACTATATTCTTTGCTTTCTGAGCTTCCTTGTCTAGATTTGCCCTCCACCTCCCTTCTTCGTTTCCCTTTTATCTACTCTATATCTCTTCCACCACCACTCCCTAATGATTTAGGGGAAAATGAGAATAGGAATTCAGACAAGGGTAATCCAGGAATTCCAGCAGCTGCCTTTGGAGAAATGCTGGTCTCAGGCAAAACAGGAACAAACAATTGTATACATTCCTTGGACTGAAACAGAATTAAGGTATCTGCCTAAAGATTTCTCCAATTTTTGCCTTGGCTAGGTAGCTTAGTTGGTAAGAGCTTTGTCCAAAACACCAAGGTTGTGGGTTTGATCTCAGTCAGGACATATACAAGAATTAGACAATGAATGCATAAATAAGTGAAATAATATTGATGTTCTCTCTCTTCTCTGTTAAAAAAAAAAGAAATTTAATTTAACTGTTAGAACCTGTGATGCTGGCTATTCTGATCTGTTCCAATTAGTATACCTACTGGTTTCTGGGAGCAAAGCAACAGAATTACTAGATAGAGTTTGCTAGGAAATTCTTGTAGAGGAGTCTGTTTTTACTGCAGAAATTCAGGTCACCTTAAGAAGGATTATTGGAAACTGAAATGAGATTTGAAAAAAGAAAAGAAACAGAGCAAGCATAGGGCTGCTGCAAGGATGATGAAAGGGCATTTCCCTTTCTCCTCACTAATTGTTTAGAAGAAATTAAAAATATGTGGGGGTGGTGGATCACTAAGGTTCTTGTAAATACTGGGGTTACTTTATCTGTTCTTAAATCACACCTAAGTTGCACCTAAGTTGCCTCCTCTCTAAGTAAAACTTCTGTGTAAATGGTAGAGATATTTAATAACCAATGTCTACTTTTAGATTGGAAACTGTCCCCTTCCAACTACGGAATGTTAAGGGGCAATATACATATTTTGGTAATCAAATTTGCCCCAACTTACCTGATAGGGTGAGATTTTCATGAAACTAATGATGCCCACGTAACCTTTTGCCAGAAGGGTGAAATGTATTTAGAAAAGAGTAAATCAGATACTGAACTAACTTAAAAAATAATAATTTAAAGAAACCTCCACAAGAGGAAAATAAT